TGGCCGCAGCCATATACCAAAGCCCACCGGCCACCGGGGGAACACCCCCACAACAACCCACACCGCTGCAGCCGACGACCGCAGGAAGTATGGCCCACCAGCAGCCCCAGCAGCCACAACAGCCACCACAACCGCCACAACCCACCGCCAGTGGAACAGCCACTCAACAACCACCTCCACTGCCACAGCCGGGACATCGGACCGGAGTCCTCCTTCTCACAAGCCAACCACCAGACAACCCTGCAAGGACAGTGGCCCGAGGGCTAGCACAGATGTACCAGCAACAACAGCAACAGCAACAGTACCCTGGACAGCAACCATACACCGCAGCGCAGCTGGCCAAAGACTACGGCTTTGCATACTACGATGCAGGGGGGAACCTACGTGACTCCGATGGCCAGATCATCGAACCACCACCCGACACTAACCCGGCACAGCAAGCACCGCAATCCACAGGAGCCCCTATCCGGCCACACGGCCCTCACGGGGTCGCTTACGCAAGCACCCACAACCCCGACACCGACCCCTGGGCGGACTACCAGCCAACCACACCGGTGATGCCACAGCAAGCGCAAGCCAGCCAACACCATGCAGACACCCAACCACCGCAAGCATCCACGCCACCACTTGCGGCAGCCGCCACAGCAGAGCAAGCCGACGCCCAGCATACACCACCAACACCACAAGCAACCGCCGGCCACAACACACAACCTCCACCTGACGGGGGAGACCAACAAACCGACGCCACACCAGCGGCAGCCGGGGGGAGCGCACAGCCACGCCTCAACACCAAAGCCCCATTTGAATCGGTGACTGGCTCACGCTTGACACGAGCTATCCCCGGGATGACCATGCGTGAGCATTACGTATGGATAACAACGGGGGAGATTCCCGCAAGCTATATCGAAAGGGAGCTCCTACCCCACTTCCCCGACGACGGCCGGGACGCCAACGACAGCAGCACTGCCGGGGGGAAGAGAAGAGCAACGCCCACACGCCACGCCGACGCAGCTCACAGCGGAGGGCACCACAGAAGCCAACCAAAGTATACCAGCGGCAGCATGAAGGGGGAGGCCCCGACCGCACCAGAAACAAAGCAGAGAAGTACCGCATCAAGCGCTGGCTGAAGGCCAACAACCTCCACCACACACAATGGGGACAACACCTGCTGGGCCAAGGCCCGTCCCCACCACAGCAACCTAGGGGCAGCCAACCTGCAGCTACGCCCGCAGATGACGATGACCCGGCCCAGACAACATGGCAACCACCACAGCTGAGCTTAGAGGAGAGGGCAGCCTACTTCCGCATGCTGAACCCCGGCCAGCCACTACCACCACACCTCCAACCACCACAAGAAGACACCACGGCAGCCACCGATGGAAACAGCCCCGACACAACACAGCAACACGAGCGACACATACACACCCTACTGGCACCCAGATGCAGACGACGGGGGGACCGCAGCTGCCACAGCCACCAGCTACTACCCAGCAAGACGTCAAGCACCACCATCGCCTTCGGGGGATATACCACAACAACCCCGCCCCCCCTCACTAGGGGGGGAACAATCGTCACCACCACCACTGCCCCATTCAACCATCACCGGTGCCACCCACACAGCTCTGCGAGCTGGCAAATGGCTCAGCAAAACAGAGTACCAACAGGACGTCCCGACCAGCAGCGGGCAAACCACGCCACCACCCCACATGAGCATGCCAGTCGCCGTATACCCACCCATCAGCGGCGAAACATGGCTGCTGCTTGAGCCGATCTCGGGACACCGATGGTTAGCCACCGTCACCCAAGTGCCGTCAACCCACCAACAAGAACACCAGAGCTTAGCACTTCAAGTGGGTTTCACCAGATCCGTGACGGTAGGCGGTTCGGCCATCCAAGCCCCTCACCGTCACCACAGGGGGAACACGACGGCGCGGAGCTGATGCAAGAATACCTAGTCAGTACAACGTCGACTACCTCAACCACGCCGACCTCTCCAACGGCATGCTCGCACGACGCCGAGGGGGAGCTCAACGGCACGACCACGGATGAGGAGAATGTGGGCTTGGTCCGCCGACGAAGACGCACACCGCTTCTCCACCAACTACGCAATGGGCGTCCCAGAACCGCTCGGGGGACCCAACAGGTGACACCAGTCCGTGAAGACCCCTCAGGCGAAGGGGGGGCAAGCAGCTCCGCAGACCGCCCGGACGCAGAGGCCCGACTGGCAGCACAGCAGGGAGCCATCCAAGCGGCGACGGCACAGATCCAGATGATCCACGAGATCGCCGATGGCCTGGCAAACCGTGATGGAGAGATTATCTCCAATATTTGCGCCATCGCCTTGCGCATGCTGAGCCACGCTGAGAACTACCCCCACATGCAACCGCGGGGGACGGGCGCAGCTTTTGCCGGCCCATCAAATGTCAGCGAGGCGTACAGATTCGTGGCATCCATGCGAGTTCGCCGGGGGGAAGACTTCACGCCAGAGGAGTATGCCACGGACCTCAGCCAGCTACGAGCCATGATCGAGGCAGGCTTAGGGGAGCTGACGAATGATCCCATGCCGGGGGATGTACCACAGAGCTCCCTCAGCAAAGCCTCCAGCCAGCTTCGAGAAGCCTACAACCGAGTGGACAAAGCGATTCTCCCCACCACGGGGGGGGGGGACCGCACATGGAACACCTTGACCTGGTGGAATGCGCTGCATGATCTACTTGCCCCTGCAGCTCTACTTGCCACCAGACGAGGGGAAGCAGTAACCATGGAGCCCGACACCACGCAAGCCCACCCGGCTGATGTTATCGGCTTGGCGGGGGAAGCACACGGAGAATGGACTGCCAGAACAAGCCAGACGGGGTCGGCCACCACACAGCTACTCAGGGCAGCTACTCGACTCCGCAATGTGGTCCCATTTGTGGGGGATCATGTGCTGATGCCTATCGTGGAGATGCTGCATGCACTGGAAGCCTGGCAGCAGTCGCTGTTTGGAGGGGTGCATGCCGTCACCGAGAGCACCCAAACAGGGGAGACCCCTCAACCGGCACAAAGGGAGATGCCGGACAACAGGGAGACCGTGAACCACGACGACCGCACGGAGAAGTTTCGCGACAACACGGAGGAGGGGACGATTCAGACCGAGACCACCGACCAGCAGCGGGGGGCGCTCACCGCACAAGAAATGGCAGCCCTGATGACGCCGAGTCTGCAGGCAGCTGTCAATGCGGCGGGGGATCTCAACACCCTGCCCACTCAGCCAGAGAGCGAAGCGCCGACAGTCCCATGGCATGGCCACTTTTCGAAGGGGGGAATCCGCGTCCGACAAGTACTGAGAGAGGGCGTAGCCGTAGTCCACGTCAAGACGACGACGACGGCGGCAGCCACCGTCGACGCAGATTGCAAGCAGCCTTCTATGGAAAACATGGACCCTGCTGAGAGCTCGAAGGGGGAGACTCTGCCTTGTTATAGTTTTAACCTTTTCACTCCCACTTCGAGACACTCAGGGGGGACATGCCTTCCGAGTATTGTACATGAAGCCAACTCAAGCTGAACAGGGGGGTGTCCTTTTGATGTAACCATGTTTTCTACTTTTGTTCAGCCCTGACCTTACAGCTTCACGTTGGCCCGGGCCTCAGTCTCCAGTACAGCAGAGTGCTCTGTGAGGGGAGCGAGTGCCGGACAAAAGGGAGGGGAGGCTCCTCCATAGTCAACCATGGAACTGCTAAACTTTTGTCGTGCCCAAGTTTTGCTTTGTTGCTGCAGGGGGGAGCCTCACACACCCACACTTCTTGTAAAGCTGAGCCCTGAAAAGGAAGAACCTTTTTGGGGGACTGTGAGACCCCGCGAAACGCGGGTGTGCGAACTCGCACGGGGGTCTGAGCCTGGACGCCGCTCTGCCCCCACGCCCGGTAGTGAGAGAGAGAGAGAGAGAGAGAGAGAGAGAGAGAGGGAGGGAGGGAAGGAGGGAGAGAGCGAGTGGTGCTCCATGGTCGGGGCCTCAGAGAGTAGCTGCGTGAGTTTTTGGAGTGCTTGAGCTTGTTTTTTGTCGGGGGGACAGTGCCCACTGACAACGATGCACCTGTGTGCCCGTGTCCGCGGCCCCCGTGGTGTGGGGCTCAGCTTACAATTGCGCCCGGGGGAACACGGCTTAGCGACGAGGCCGGGGGTTGATACATAGGTAGTGTACAGGATGCGGGGGATGTTCTGGTGCAGTCCGGTGCCTCAGTCGAAACCGGGAAGTTTCACAGACGACCTTCAAACCGGTGCGCGCTTGCGCGCGGGAGCTGCGGCTCCTTGTCCGAGTGCAAGCAAGGGAGAGAGCGAGAATTAGTGTGGGACCCAGACCCAGACATGTTTTACATCCCTTCTATGCCCCGTAACTACGGGGGGCTTAGAACGGGTATTTCGAACATCCCCAAGCCCTACAGAAGAAGAGAGATAGTATGCATCACTGGGGAAGTCGAAGCCTTACGATTACGGTGTGCTTTGCTTCCCTGAGAGCTTCCCTGAAACGGCTTCTCCCAGAGGGAGAAGGCGGGAACCCCAAGGCCGGAAGCAAAGGCGACAGAGACCTAGACAAAGAGAGATGAAAGATACAGAAACGCAGAAACACAAAGCACCTGAATGCTTTCGTTATGCGTAGGGCCGAGGAGAGTGGTAGAACCATTTAGGAATCAAATCCTCGTCGTACTGCAAGTCTGTCCTGGACAAAAGCGGAAGAACAGGAAGAAGCCTTGTGCACATCTTTGACGAACACACAAACGGCAGGAAACCAGCCGGCTGGCTGTTGGACGTCTGCGAGTGGGAGGTGGTGTCCCCGAGGCAGTCGAAACTGGCAGCCGTCGGCCTCCAGTCATTCGTTGGGTGCTGGACGGGTATACCACATACATCGTCAAAGCTGACACAGGTCTTCTATACACAGTACCACAAAGGCACTTCAAAGCACTGGTCTGGCTGTCTTCATCAGCAGCATCGTAGTTGCACTTTGCCAACTTGCACCGCTGATGTGCGTGCGTGGTACGGCAGAGAATCCCGATCAAAGCCGGGTCTTCTGCTCAGAAGGTGGCAAACGCGGGAGGGTCCGGGCAGTCCGAAACGAAGCCGAGCTCCGCCTCCGACCCATCAGGCGGCTACGTCTTGTGACATTGACGCCAGCACGCAGGAAACATCAACCAAGACTGCTTCTTCACTGCCTCGAGGCAGATAGCGAGACAACGAAGTCCCCCAAAGGGGAAGTGGAGCTGCACAGGCCAGGCAAGTCATGAAAAAGTGAAGCGAGTGCAAGCCAGACCGCAGGTCCTTCTCAGCCATCAACGAAGAATCCGGCACAGCCTGGGGTGGTGGCGAGGAGGAGACTTCAGCCTGGACTCTCTTTATCAGCACCTGTGGATGGCTGTTTCAAGGGCCTGACCATCAAAGTCGGCCTTCTGGGAGCGGACCTGGAAAACCTACGAGAGGAGCAGACCTCTGGAGAAACGTTTCGTCTCAGACTTTTGCCTGTTCAGTGACTCAGGGCTGTCAGCGCTTGGCCTGCGAATCAGAAGAGATCGTGCAGGCAAGGGCGGACAGCTGGACGATTTCGTCTCCTCGTGCGATCTTGCAGGCTATCTTCGAGCGTCTTGGAATCTTGCACTGTCGCACCTCCCGGATCGAGACTGCCTTGGGACTGCCGCCAGAGCCTGAAACGCGGCGACCGGTTCTGAAGCGTTGCTGAAAGGCATGTCTTCAGCATCCTTCAGCCATGTCATGCCATGTGTGCTTGTACCGTCTCGTTTTTAGGCCGTGGCAGCCTCCAGAAGACAGTGATGAGGCCGAAATGAGGACGCTCAAACGGATCTGCGCAGATCTCCATGTCCATGGAGTCCTTGTGCTACATCAGAACAACTACTGAGGACAGCACAGACGGATGACGAGAACGGAGACGATGCAAAAGGTGCATCTGCTGGGCAGACGTAAGCACAGGTCGACAGAGAATGCAGACAGGTGCAACCATTCCACGCTGCCTGCGAGGGCATGCACTGGTGCAAGGATCCAAGGTTGATGTCAATTTGTGCATCCTGAAGACAAAGCTTTCGCAAGCTAGGCTGTGACGAGGCGTTTTTGTCTTGCCTCTTCCGCTTGCTTGGCCGTGTCATGGAAATCCAGCCAAGGCCGGATGAAGAAGGTGCCGAGGGGCCACCGAAGCAGTGTGCCTTCTGCAAGAACCGGAGGCACCAAAGTGATGAGACGTTGACTCGCCTGACCAACAGCAGTGCCTGCAGGCAAACACAGTTTCGATGCAGCGAGGGATGCTACTTCCATGCATGCCAGGACGCTTGAAAAGTGCAAAAAATCTGGCTCAACCCTGCCGTGGCGTTCCTGTGCTAGGAGTGTGTGCTCGGAGCGCCGGAAGGTGCAGGCCATCAGATGGAAGAACACGAGTCTCCGCTGCGTGATTGCAAGGAACACTGCCAGGGTATGTTTCGACCAACGCAACGATCATCGTGGCCAAATCAGGGCTCAGGGCATCAATACCGGGCAGAGCATCTGCAATGATTATTGTAATTGTGCATCTCGGATCCTGCCAAAGCTGGCAACCACTCGGAAATCTTGTCGGAGTGTTGAGTGACTTCGCAAACAGCTTGTGGTTTGACACACCGCACTCTTAGCAGAACGTTTCTCAGGACTCGATAAACCACTGATTCCGACTGATTCTTGTCTCTGTAGATGTTGTCACCACCCTGAGAGGCATGGAAAGTGCAGACGGGGAGAGTGGGGTCGCTTCCGCGACTGCAAAGGAGGCCTGTCTAGGCCAGCATGGGCTCGAAATGCTGATTGGCCTTATGTGCAAGACAGGACAGGTCTGACACGGCAACGAAAGCTCCGGAAGAAGGCATGAACAAATTTCCTGATGTGTTCTTGTAGTCTCACGAACTCTACCGCAGTGACGGGTTCTACAGATTCCGAAACCGCAAATCTGAATTCTCGATGTCAGAAGGCACGTCCCGTTCCCCGTGTGGAGCCCGGGTGCAAGTGTGTTCGTGCATCACTACATCTCTGCATCTGTAGTCATCGCATCGGCCCGTCTGCTTGAAGTATCTTGATGTCACCAGCACGCGAGCATCCCATCACTTCCACTTTTCTCCGGCTTGCACAGGTCTAACACCTCTGACGAGTCCCGTTGCGTAAGGATCTCAGGCAGACAGGCTTTCAGCCCTTGATCGCGCGTGTTCAGAAGCAGTGGTCCACTCATGTTCCGAAGTTGCTTTTGGCAAGTTGACGTTTTGATGTCATGCACAGATCATGTTGAGTGTCCTTGAATGTGAGGAGAAGGCGGACGATGCCTGTTGTCGGCCTCCACAAAGCCGGCGCGGAGCCCGTCTTGGTGACGCATTTGGGAAGTTCCTCTTCACACAAGGCTAGCCCTCATAATGCAAGATTCAGTTACACTAGGTTTTATTCTGGTCGCTCGGCAATGGGGACAGCATAGCTGAAAGCATGCACGGCATCCTTGGAGCTCAGGCGTGTGTTTCGCTCCTCATGCATGGACAACAAGCTCTTGCATCGCGGACTGCTTTGTGCTCAGGCCACAGACACCGTCAACGATGATGCAAGAGGACGCTGCGCCTTCGGCAGCTCGTAGACACGGCCTCAACTGAAACTGCGTATCCGGTTGGGCTCGAGACTGCAACTGCAAAGTGGCGGCAACACGCGGGGCGAGGATGGAAGGGCGGAGCAGAGGTAGGCAAATGTCTGGCAATGTTGGATGATTGCAGGACTCCACGGATGCCCGCCTGGAAGCACGGGGCTGAAAACGAAAGATTCGCAGACCACCGTATGTCTAGCAAAACAGAAGATGGCCACTGAGGTGGACAGCTTCGGTTCAGAGACACCAGATGCCGACCTGCAGGCAAGTCGTGCAAGTCCGACTTGCCGGGCAAGATGATTGATTGGACATATACAAAGGGCTTCCCATGCATGCCGGGCCGGAACTCAACAGTGCAGTCTTGCCAGGAGGAGGCAGCAAGGCCTCCGCGGCCTCCAAGAGAATCTACCAGCGGGCTGAAGGCGCCGTGTTCCCCACAGCTGTTTGAAGCTCGAGCCGGTTGGAAGCACTGTTGGAGGCTCGGCTTTCTGCACTGGAGGTGCCATGGACAAAAAGTAAGGGTTGATGTGAGATGTTTAGTTCAGGACTCACGGAGATTTGCGGCATATCCCAGCAATTGTCTCGATGCCAGGCAGAGGTGCGAGAGCTAAGTGTAGCGGGGCGCCTAAAGAGGTGTCTGTGTGGCCTAGTGACCTAGTGCGCACGGATTGGCTGCGTTTGTCGTCTCCTTCGCAAGGCCTCTGAGAGTGCAGTCGCCAAAGAAGCGGCTGCAATGGCACAGGCCGAGAAGAAGTGAGGAGGAGTCCCTTTTAAGCGTCATTCGCGCTGTTTCTTTGCAGGAGGCCGCAGAGGCATGCTGCACGGCCTTGCACGAGGACTTTCACGGAAACCGGGGTTCAACGCAGAGCGACGACAGTCCCGATGCCAGGACGTGTCGAGACTGTTTGCTGCTTTCGAAGCCGAAGTAAAGGCGCACAAGAACCGGAGAGTGAGGTTCCTACTGCCCGAATTGCCCGCAAGAAGCCGCAATAGCGATTCGAAGGCATCGATCATGAAGCTTCAGGGCCAGGTCAGAGCCTTCAGGGTCACAGGGCCAGGCTTGTACTTACGCTTGATGGTGAAAGTTGTCTGTGCGGCGGTGCAGGAACCTGGCGAAGTCCACGGAATCGGCACAAGCTCCTGGGCTTTCGATGTGGATGTCTGTTCGGTGGTGAATGCAGAAGTGACTATTCGACTTGCGCACAGGTGCCCACGAAGAGGTGCAGAAAGAGCTTGCTGAGTTTGCAGAGGTCTGCTTGGTGTGGACATCCTATTCGACACCAGGCTTTCGCAGTGAACTGCCGTAGGCAATGCAGCAGAACTTTGTCAGCACTTCCGAGTCCTTGCGGCAGATGGTAGTTGAAGCCCAGGCTCGGTGCCTGAAGTTTTCCCAATGCCTCCATCCAGTCCGTCCAGCCAGGAAGAGGCTGAAGAGCGACTTCTGGGAAAGGCCACTAGGGCGGCGATTCCGCAGCCCTTTGATTCTTGCAGAGCCGTAGCCTGGCACGAAGGCAAACGGGATGCACCAGACGGTTGAAGGCTCGACTGTCGCTGAAACCCATGACTTCAAAACGGGGTGCACTAGGACTCCATCTACGGCTTGAAGCACTTGAAGCAGACCTCCCACGTGGCCGCGTTGGGTCCCCAGGAATTCTCGGGAGCCTGGATGCCTGCGGCGAGTTGCAGGTCCGAGCCTCCAACAAGGGTCCTGCTCCACGGACTGCTTGCTGCTGAGCACGGCGGAGCACTGCTGAGCAGCGACAGCATGAGAAACTGCAGCTCCGGACGGAGGTCCCTGCAGAAGGAAATGCCATCGAGGGCTTGGCTTGGCCCTCAATCGGCGAAGTGTGCAGCTGTGCTCTGCTGTACTGTTGCAGCGGATGGCGACTGCGGCTGCGAGGCCCTCGGCTTCTCTGCCCTGGTCAGATCGCTCGGACTCTCGAAAGGCACAAGATGCGCCTTTGCAGTCACACGGCTCGCGGCCGCTTTCAAGCCTGCGAGGCGAACGTGTTGGGCTGGACTGGAGCTGGGAAGAGGTCTGTGACTGTGCATGCATTCCCTTCATGGCTTCTGGAATGCTCAGATGGCATGTGAAAGTCGCGCAGTGAAGCATGCTTCGAGACTTCGTTGGCAGTTCAAGGCTGGCCTGCGCATTGAGGAGGCGTGGGCAGCAAAAGCACGCGAGGCGCCCGCACGGGCGAATCTTCCAAAAGCCCGGTTCAAGTTGGCTTCCCGGCGCTCGCACTGATGCAGCTGTTCCGCTACTCATACCTTCCAAGGGTGACTTGTCTTAAAGAAGCGCATCTGCAGGCATGGCATCTTGGCCTGCCTCCGAAACCTGACCTCTTCGATTTCCTTCAGAGCCAGGCTCCAGCCGCTGCTTTCTCCCGATACCCCTTTTGGGGACAAAAGCGTCGTGTCAGGGCGGGGACGCAGCTGTCGCTTTTAGGGCGAGCTTAGGATTTGGGGAACGGCCAGCCCTGTTGAGAAGTGCGTGTCATGTGAGGTAGATACTCGCAGCAAGGAACATAGTGCGCAGCTTTCTGTGATGTTTGATGGCAACAGGTCCGCGCGACAACTTCTACCACGGCACCAGCGCCCAGACTGCCTGACCGGCGGGAGGTGTGTCCGGCGTCCCATGGTGCATGGAGTACTCGTACCTTTGGAAGTGATGTTTGTGCAGGCAGCCAGGCTTACCAGCCGGCTTGCGCAGTGCTCTCAAATTTTTGGGCTTCCACCGGCAATGAGCAGTGCAGCAGCAGCAATGCATCATCGATCGCCTGCCTCAGTTCCTCTCCTGTTTCCTCTGGCTGCGGTACCTTGTCGACTCGAGCTAAGCTCGCTCTTGGCCACCTGCAACACTGCTTCTTTCGTCTTTCTGGCGAAGCACATGGATTCACCGAGGTTCAGCCCCCAAAGCAGTGCAGCCACTGAAGTGGGCGCCCCTGGCGTCCGCGAGAGTGTTCGCATCGTTTGAAGCGTAGCCACTGTAGCCATTCAGCTTTCTCCATCCATGTCCATGTTTTTTCTGCTTGGTTGTGTCGCATACGACGAGGTTGCGAAGCCCCACTTTGGATGTGGGCTGTCGCTTAAAGAGAGAACCTAGAGGTCGATAGACAAATGCCGTATCTGGCGCCTTACGACTGGTAGCAGACAAAACACCAGGAAATTGAGGTTGCGCAACGCGGGAAGTGCGACTGAGGTTAAAGACTTGGAGGAGTCGTCTCCGCTCCAAAGGCCAGGGCCTGCCAGGGCCAGCCGAGTCAAAAGAGAGAGCAGAGAGCACTCAAAGAAGGTTTCTGTGCAGAGTGTCAAACGGAAGCTCTGGCGAGGAGCGGTTCCTCCGGTGGCATCGGCCTTGGCGGCCTTGGCCCAGGGCCAAAGGCCCAGCCTCGCGTCGCCTGCCCTTCGCGCGGCCGAGCCGCACGAGGCACCCTCGACGTGGCAAGTCTGGCCCGAAAGCAAAGTCGCAAAGCATGCGAAGTTATCGCGTAAATTCATCGTCCCCAGCACTTGGCTAATTGGAATTGCAGTAGTGCTGCCAAGCTTCGAAGCACTGTTGCCGGTGTGTTGGCTTCTCCGCTTTTCCGTATCTGCATACCTGGCGAGGTTTGTTTGAGAAAGTGTCGGCAAGTCATGCCGAACACCATTGCATAAGTTGTCTGCAACAGACGAACGCATGTTTGGGAGTGGCCACATACACCCGAGCAAACAGACAGAAACACAGCAGGAAGCTCACATTCACCCACCAGTGGCCAGACCTCGAGACTTGGAAGACTCGGCAATCTACAGCTTCATGAACAAGGAAAAACATATTTGCAACCACAGGGCCTGCCTGTGTTCACCTCTGGAGCCATTCCTTTGCAGCCTCCGTCTGCTGCCTATAGCTTGAAAGCGATAAACAGTGACGATGGCAGGTGCTGATATGGTCAAGGGCTCGGGTGTGCGCGTCTCGTTTCAATGAAGACGCCTGAACGTGCGGCCTCGAGGCTTGGGCGGAAAGAGGCGAGCAGCCCGTCTATGCCGAAAGCAGACGGGGCCCGAAGCTCAGGACACTTTCCCGACTTGACATGCCAGATCTTGGCCTGTTCTATTGGCATCTACTGACCCTGGCCTTGATGCTCGAAGCTTGCCGCGCTGCTCTGGGAGTGTCTCCAACCTGCAAGAACTGCCATGGCATTCTCCTTTCCAGATGACTACGGATATGTCGTGCTTGCGCACTGCATGTCCTGGATATCCAACATGTACCTGACCATCAATGTGGTGCAGATCTCAGCCTGCAGCATAATTTTGATGCGGTCGGCAGGGTCTGTTCTTCGAGCCCCTTTGCTAGGTGAAGGCACGTAAGCAGTATGGCATCAAGTACCCGGCCCTCTATGTGCCCTAGCGGCAGCCGGCAGCAACGGAAAAGCCTGTCTAATGAGTTAGGCGATTCGAAGCCGAGGCTCCCGACGGCCACCCCCATGCGGAGAGTTTCAACAGTGTGCAGACACCTGGCACACATAGCAATACCGACACTCGTTCCTAAGATGGCGAGATCGGGATTTTTGAGTCAAGGCGAGCTCATCAGAACACTCTCGAGAATTGGGCACCGGTGCAAATCTTGATGGCTTGTGCCCCAGGACTCAGAGACTCGGAGGAATGTGTGATTGAGAGAAGGCGACTCTGCGGCTTCCAAGGCATTCAATGGCATTCTCTATCCCAAATTTGCTGCTTCTTGTGGCATGATTTGGGCCTTCGGCCGAATTGTCTATGGTGTGCTTCTCAGTGCCGTCTCGCTGTGTGAGCACCGTAGGGGCAGGGCACGGGAGCATGTCACGATGCATTCCGAGGCTATGGGTATGCCAAGGGTGGACCTGACGGGCGCATGGTGGGAGGATTGTGCCCCGACGGAAGTTTAGGTCCATGCTGAATGCTCCATGTTCCATCGTCGAGCTGAAGATGGCGAGGCTGTCTCATCTTGGTGACTTCCCGCTCCTCATCGGTGGATTCGTGCAACTCGGCCGGCAGAGGTGGCTTTCGGAACTTGCCCAAGCTGACTTGCAAGGACCGCATTTGGGATGATATCGGCCAAGAGCACGTGAAGTCTGAGTCTGTGCAGCTCACGGAGACCAACCCTCGAGCTGAGTCGAAAGGGGTGTACAGAAGTTTTAAGCAGCAGCCTACAGTCTGCACAGTCTGCCTCATTGGTTGAAACTTGAAAAGTGCTGGTAGTGGTCTCAATGCCTTTGGCGCTGATAGATCTAAGAACACAGACTTCAATTCAGACTGAACTTGCTGAGGCCAAACGCTCCGTGCCACATCCGCTGGTGTGCCGTGGGCAGCAGAGAAACGGGGATAAACCGCAGAGATGCTCCCTTCCCAGGCTATCCTTCAACGAGCCTCCAATTGCTTTGCGCCACGTTGCAGGGCCAAGCAGCTGCATCACCCCCTTCGTTTTCTACACTTTCTGCCCATCTGTTGCCCGACTTCCGGATCAAAGCTGAGGGTGAATGAAGCTAACAGCTAACAACACCGGATGCAGCTGCTGCAGTTCCTACGCGTAGGTCCTGGCAGGTCAATTTCGTACTGGCGAGGGGTGTAAGCGAGCTCGATTGCAGTGCATGCACAACTTGTCGCCGCTTGCTACCACTGCCAGTGTGTGACAGCTTGACCGCCACTGAGGCGCCGCAGCGGTTCGGTTAGAGCCAGCACGATGTGCCTACTGCTCCTACATCTTCGTACAGACCGTACGTATAAACTAGAGAACGAGTCCCCCGAAAGCGTGAGCACCCAGCATCATCTCACCCATCCATCAACCCATCCACCCATCCATCCATCCATCCATCCATCCAAACTTGCATCCATGCTGGCAACCATCCATATGTTATGTCATCATTTTGCATGCCGTTCTCCCGCTCTATAAGGCCTGCCTTTAAACCCTGCCACACCCTCCTTTGAACCGTTCTGCATCGTGGAGATGGATGTTGTGGAGCATTAAATCACAAAGGGCGGATCCAGAACCACAACGAGGGAAATGATTTACGAAGTGTGACACATAGGCTGAGATGAGGCCATCGAGGGCTGGGTCTCGGAGTCTTGTAAAAACGACAATAACGATAGAAACAAATGAAAGTGCAAGCAGTGGCTTAAGCTGGCATTCTGACTCAGACGGTGGGCATAACACGCACAGCGCCAGGACCTGTCCACCGAGAGGGTTGACAAATGTGCATCGTCGAGGCACCAGGCATGCAGCACGATGTGGCTTGACCAAAACTTCGGCCCAAGTATACTTAATACTGCAAAAATGCTTCTCGCATGCACTGCCGTGATTTTATAGACATGACTAAGCGTGATGCGTCGCGGTACCACACGCGCAGCGCGATATCGCACGGCCAACATGCTTCCCCATGTGCTGCATTTGCCCAGAAGCTGGACTTTTCGAAGCTAAGACCAGCGCTATGCGCTGTATGCGCAGGCCAACATTCCGACATGGGCACATTTAGTGGGATTCGGATTCGCAATGGATTGCACATATGGGACGGACGTGGACACGTCGTGCTCGCCGGGAGTGTTCTCAATGCCGAACATGAACCGTCGCGGCACCACGAACGCGATTTGACGCGATCGAATTGCCTCCCCCCATCCGCTGCAGGTGGGATTCAAAAGCACGGCCGAAAGGCGTGGTTCAGAGAAATGACATGAAATCACCGACATGCTTCTTGCCCTACATACAGTCCTGGCCGAATTCACGAGCGCGGCCACGATGCTTGCCCCATGTGTCGGAATCGAATTGCTTGACCTTGAGTACAGACGGGATCGAAGCATTTCGAGTCCAAAATCAAGAACGACACACAACACGCACCAAAGAAGGTTGACATTTCGAGGCCAGCAAGAGTCCAATGCATCCTGAAATTAATTTGCAATGGACGCGCGCTGACTTGTCATGTCGAGACCACCGTGAGGCCGAGGTATGAGAATTTGCTGCACAATGGATCGCGCTCACTGCAGGAGGCGACACGCCAAGAATCGTCATAGCACTCTGCTTGCAGCGGCATCTTGCACGACTGAGAACGCTGGCATCAGGAGGGAGTTGCCAAACTCGAGGACGAATCGTCACGGCACCACACATGCCGCGCCATTTTGCGATGCGCACGACTCGCTTTGGCCAGGGCAGGTGCGTTAAAGAAAACGCAACTTCAGCTTGCGAGGTCAGAAGCACCTCACACCATGCAACCTCACGACATCTTAAGAGACAGCGTGACGTCAACATCAACAAACATCATCATTCGATCCATGATGCGTCCGATACGTGATCACATCATGTCATCCCAACCACCTCCTTCGAGACACCCTTTCCCACGCTTTCGGGGAACATAGGAAGTCTCGCTGCTGCATCTAAAAGAAGGGTCCTTGAAGGTCCCAGCGGTGGTGAGACTTTTGCAAGGAATCTTTAACCTAGGATGTCCAGTGAAGGCTTCGTCAACTTGAAATGTGCAATAGTGTCAAGTGCTTGCTCTCGGTCGCACATGAAATGCTTCAGCCTCACCGGGTCATCTTCTTTGCATGTGATGTTGCTCACATCTAGCAGCTAAAGTCATGAGCGCTTTCTCAAGCTGCCTTCGGCAGCGCGCCCTTTCAAGTGTCGTGCGTGCAGCTTGGCGGCTCGAGTTGCTGGGGATGCCCCGAACGGGGGCAACGGCCGAGCAAAGCCGCTTTTTTCTCCGCCTTTGATACGCTTTTGCAAAAGCGATGTGCAGTTGGCATTGCAAGTCTGACGTAATCCTGCGTAGCCGTGCGTGTCTCGTCTGAAAGGCGGTTAAACCCAGTGTCACCTGATCATAGACGCTCCCAGTGGCACTTGCCTATTGCGTTCTCCGCGAAGCTCAAAAAAAGGTGCTTTGAGGCCAGAATACGAGAGAGCATCTTTCTGTTTACAGCCCATGTGTGCCCCCAGCTGCCTCAACTCCACCAGCAAGCATGCAATTCAGAGCCATGTAAAACACTTGCCGCTTGTTCGCACAAACAGACAGACCAAGCCACAGCCTCTTCAGCAAGCTCATGCCAACTTTCCGGCACAGTCATAGATTGGCATTCCATTGCATAGCCTCTTGCCATGTGGACTGGCAAAGATGGCAATGTCTCAGACACATGTCGCGTTTACAAGGCAAAGAGTTGTATGGCGCGCTTACGGGTCTCGACTTCGGACAATGCGATGCAGTCGCAGAGTCGCAGGACTGTCCTTTCTTCGATGCTTCTCGGTGGTGCGCTTAGTCGCCTAGTACCCGGGCTCCCGGCTCGCGCCCAGCTTGTGGTGCATCCTCTGATCGAGAGCGCTCCGCGCTCTTTCCGAGGCGCTTCTGTCACAGCAGAGGTCTCCAGGTCAGCGCGGGGGGGCCGAAGGCAGTTGGATGGTCGTTAGTGGCAGTGTCGGCTCTGGCTCTGACCGCAGAGGAGCTTCCAGCTTCTGGTCCAGAGGAAACGCATGGCAGGCGAAAAATTTTGCATAGCACCGTAGCCTCGCCACCCCCGAAGCAATGGGCTTCCAATTGCAGTTTCTAGGTCGCAAACTCACCGTTGCGGTTTATCACGACGATTTTACAACTAACGTTCGTGCAGGCTCCAAAGGTCAACTGTTATTCGCTTCTCGGCAGCTGGCTCAGCATCGTTTCTCGCGCGGTAAAGCTCTCATCTGTGTCGACTGCAGGTGTTCCAGAGACGGCCAGCATCGAGGACATAAGGAAAGCTTACTTGCAGCGCCGGATCCTTCGTGTCCACAAGCCTGCGCTCACAGCCTGCAAGCTGCCTGCAAGCCAAACTCCCAGGTGCAAAATCCGCACATCCAGACCTGGTGGGCTCTTGCCCCTTCCTCAAGCCCTTAAATCCGCTCTTCAAGAAACCAAGCAGTTAACACGTGCAGTCGAGGCTCCAATGACATGGTACAGTTAAATCTCTGCGCCGGCCCTGGAGCCCCACATAAAATGCCCTGCGTTCAGCCTTTCTTCGCCGCGTCTGCGTCTCGAGGCTACGAAGCTCTCACCCAGAAACGGCGAGAGTATGATGCGGCCAAGGGAACAGGCCTGGGCTTTTGCCCCCCTCGAAGCCTTTTCTTCCAGGGGCGCAGCCTGTGCGAATCTGTGAGGTCGGAAAGCTTCGGCTTCGGCTTCCTCAAGCTCGAGCTCCCAAACGCACGCTCGAGATGCCTGGTGGTCCTGGTCTCAGCCGGCCTCAGGCTATGTCAGGCTTCAGCTTCAGCAACTGACCAACTCTCTCTCCTCTAGACTCGAGTTACCGTTCGCACGAGCCTTATGTTGAAAATAGAGTGATCTATGCGTATATATATATATATATATATATATATATACGCACACTACGCGGTTACTACCCACACTATATAACATGATGCATGCAAAGGTTGATGTACGACTACATCATCTACGCAACACAACTTCCACGTGGAACTACTGGTGACTATAATGACTAGGGCCTCGTGTCCCTTTGACGCCGTTCTCATTGTGCCGAGTCGTGAACTCTCAAGCACCCGCGAAGCACGCACTTACTTTGGCGCTTTGACGTGATTTCTGACATGGGGCAGCACACAAATGTGGATCCTAGTTTACTGTGTGTTCCTGAGCATCTGTCAAGTAAGAGTTTCCTCAGTCTCGATGCAATCTTAGAGTCTTGGACCGACAAGACAAAGACTGAGGCGTGCCCAGGGGGGGTTTGACGATCAGGATGCAAGCCGTGCTTTCAACAAAGAGTTGATTCTTAGGTTTCAGATAATCGGACCACCAGTGTCAGGACGATGAAGAATTTTATCCCTTCCATTTCCAAGATTTTGCAGAAAAGAAGTGGCGTGCGAAGCCGAGAACCACTCTGTTGCACACATGCCGCGCATTCCGTGAATGTTGGAGCCCCCAGGCGTCAGACGAGAGAGCGGAAGGCGTTGCCGCCTTAGCATGGGTTCATGGGCCAGAATGCCGATGCATCACACTTCGGGGCAGAGATTTGCATTGGAGGCGGAAGTATAAAGCATTCCGATGGCAAGATTGGACACAGAAACAGACAACATGTGGACAGGCGACGTAGCATTCCGATGAACAAGACGATTGAACCAGAAATCAGACAACAAGTAGACAGATGACCAAGCGAACCGATCACAAAGAAGATCTGACGGAAATCGGACAACAAGTCGACAGCTCACGATCGAGGTGACACTTCCACATATGCGCATGTCTAGGAAGCTGTCTGTGTGTGTGTTGGGAGACGTGATTGGCATCTGCTTCAGGACGGCCTGCATGGGAAGACTTTGCACCGATGTGGGATGAAGGTGTCACTGTCTCAGCCGAGAAAGGTCATCCTGTTTAGCTTCCTAAGAATTAAAGCACGTTCTTTTTTTTGACGAGGAATTCGATGCTCGAGATCGAGGCTCTCGGACCAGCTACAAGTATCAGCAGCTATCAACTTAAGCCCTGCTTTCGTGACGACCCGTCGCGTGCCTTTGCCTCGCCAGGGTCGCGGAGAATGCGGGGCCCGGGGCGCCGAGCATCCAGGCCGACCTGCAAGCGATGTTCTGCTGTCGAAGTCCATCATTTGCCATGCCGCATGCCCGCCTCCTGCATCCTGCCTCCGGTTGCTATAGGAGAGTGCAAAATTCGAGCAGTGATGAGGAGGAGTTTGAGTCAGGGTTGAATTTGGCATCTGCCGCCGGTCAAAAGAGCTTGCTTTGCCGAAGGAGATAGATTGGCGGCGTGGGACTCGCTCGAGTCAGGCTCGCGGGCAACACTGGTCTCCATCTCAGCAGTACCAGACTCAGTACCGTACCGGTCCCAAGTGCGCAAGCTTGTTCAACCACAGGCAAGACTCATCCAGCGAGGAGCGCAGAGCACGGCGAGTTAACGTGTGCAGATCGTCGCTCAACAACTCGACTTGATTGGAGGATGAGCATGAAGCAAGGCCGAAATCAGGACTGGTGTGTACCTGCACGTCTCGTGCGCTGGCTAGTGCGCTTTGGGCACTTTGCAATGGAGGCCGACAGGAGGACAGTCCAGCCGAGCTGTGGGTGTGTGACTGAGTCTCCCGAAGGCCAGTGAATCGAAGCATCCACGACTTTCGAAACTTGCATGTCCCAGGTGCAGGTTCCACAGCGGGGGCGCAACATGTTCGGACCTAAGTGCTCGGCGCCAGACGACTGTTCAGCATGTGTTTTCTTGAAATCGGCGCTGGACAGCGGCTTAGCGGCCCGGCGAGTTTAGTTTTTGGCTTTGCTTGCAGGCGCTCCTCGGACATCATTGGCGGAGGGTACTCGAAGCCTGCAGCCGAATTGTCTTTATCGCATAGATATGGTATCCATGGTATCCCTTCTTGGCTGTCTTGGTCCGCAGCCGTTGTCAAATCACATGCCCGGTAGCTATGGGGCCGGAGGGTACTGTCAACCACTATGTTCTGCTGGGCGTGCTTCATAGCTCTTCTCAAGACGAGATCAGGAAAGCACATCGCCTCCTGGCTCTCAAATGGCATCCAGACAAGGCGGGGCCGCGGGGCCGGGTGTTAACTCACGGCTGCAACTACACGGTTCCTGCTTTCATGCAGGTAGAGGACCCGAAGGATGAGATCGCCGTGCGCGTGGCAACTCAGCAATTCCAGCTTCTGCAAGCGGCCTACGAGGTCTTATCTGACCCAGCGAGACGCAGAAAGTACGATGAGAGCTTAGGCTTAGGGCCGAGCGGGCCTAGCGGTCCGTCGGCACAGGCTTCGAAGCGCACTTCCTCAAACTGGGAGCAAAGTGAGGCTTTGAGGATTAACGTGCCCAGCGAAGTGACATCCATTGCTGCTGCTGTGGATCGGCTTTCTATCAGCGGGGGCGAGATCTTCGTGGCTGGTGGCACCTATCACGACCTGATCGTCATTTCGAAGCCACTCGTGCGGCTCGTGTGCAAGTCTGCTGACAAAGCAGTTATCAAAGGCCAGGTTGTCTTCAGAGAATGTGCAGGCGGTGCACAGCTCAGCGGCTTCATTATAGACGCGTCATGCACTGGCGGAGCCATTGATCTGAAAGGGGTCGTGGGGAATGTTCAGATCGACCATTGCGACATCAGCAATGACTCGTCTGCCGGAGTTGTCCTTGAAGGCTGCTCCGGAAGCACTAGCATTCAATCTTGCCGGGTACATGGATGCAAATACGACGGTTTGGGACTTCACCTTCTGTCCGGAGATGCATCTCACACCGGTTTATTGAAAGTTGAGAACTCTACCTTTGAAAACAATGGCTACGACGGACTGTACCTGGGAGACCCCCGATTCAGCGCGCGCCTTCTTGGCAGCTCCGTTATCCGAAACAGCCGCTATGGCGTTCTGGTCCGTGGGACAGACTTCTCGATGGAGGGCTGCAGCTTTTCCGAGAACGAGAAAGAGGCTGTGAAAGTGGAGGAGTTTGTGCAGAAGGCCAACCCTAGGGGCACTCAGCGTACCGGGAAGGCCAGGGAAGTTGCTGCAGACCTGCCGGAGGGTTGGCGGGCTTTTCGAAATACCGAAGGCCTCGTTTACTACTACCACATGGCCTCGGGCAAAACAAGATGGTCTGTACCTGGCGAGGACACTCAGCCCGAGCCTCTACCGCTGCCGCAAGCAACTCCCGTATCCAAGAAACGCAGCAGATGGAGCTAAGCTCTGCAAGAGCCTATTCGATTTGGAGAAGTGCGTAGGCAACTACCTACAGCCGCCACATACCCGCCTTCAGCGCGTCAGATGTGCGGGCCGGACATTCAGTGCGGGAGCGCAGTGTTCGCGCCGCCGTGAGGACATCTGCTCATCATGCCGGACTTCGCCGACTGCCGCGTGGAGAACTGGAGGCGCAGCATGCCGACATGAGCGTAAGAACTACTCCTGTGATGCTCAAGATTCGAGCAGCTCTTACTCGCGCATATGATTGGCCGATCCTCGTGCAGCGTCGGATCGCGGCCAGCAAAAAAGGAGAGCCAGAGTTGGTTGACGATTGATGCTTGTCCATTTGATGTCGCTGTGTACTTTTTTGGGGCAAATACAAGTATCTACTTCTTGATTTTGGTCAGGCTCGAGACTTTCTTCAATGGGCGACCGGTCCGGGGCCTCAGAAAGGCCGGGGCTTCCGATCGCTGTTTTGCATCCGCCGTTTCTCCGCCCAAGGCTTTCAAGAAGAAGGGCGATCACGTTCTCTACATTTTTTGGAGCCAGCAGTTCACCTCTCGGTCTTCTCGCTCCGATAGAAGCTGCCAGAAGTGACTTCCCAGGTTCGGCGATTGGAAGATCGCAGAGCGGCTTCAGGATGATGGTGCCTGTGAGCTGCTGAGACTGAGGCAGTTGCCGGCCGCGTAGCACAGGCGATCACACCGTTAAAGCGTGATGTCCATTCATCCGTGCCAAAGATCGCTCACACTGTGCCGTTGGACATCTTTCCAAGCCTCTCTCTCTGTGAGGTCTCGGCTTCGCAGAAGACATGCGAGGTCGACGCAGGCATGGTCGAAACACTAGCACGAATGGACACCTTTGAATGTCTGCATGAATCGTTTTGCTGTCAGGCCTTGGTTGCAGCACCCTCCGCTGTGGAAGCCTTACTGCAGCAAAGCCAATGATGAATTATGAACCGCAAGCCGCAATCATGGCATGGAATCCGACCATGCAGCCAGGCTCTTTTTCTTAGCAGTTGCTGTGCAAAGCCACTCTGTCACAGGCGGTGGCGCCTTTGGGAGCCAACTGCACGAAGATTCGTGCCCAAGAGTGCTCCAACTCAAATTGGCGTGTTGGATCCGATACTGACTGTTGTGGAACACAGGACTCAATGTGATTGACGGACCAGAAGTTGCAGGCACCTGAACTTGCTCCCTCAGCCAGTCGGGAGGATGAGCTTGATTTCGCAGGAGCAGCATGGCAGGAGTCGCAGGCTCGCCAATGAGAAGTCTCCAAGTTTCGGTAGCTTGGGGATGTGCAACGACAGCAGGACGACTCAGATGACGATGAGGTTCCATGGTCGCGGCCACACTGGTGCGGACCTTGGTCCGTGTGTGTCTGTGTGTGTGTGTGTGCGTGGAACTCTGTTACCAAGAGTCAACAGTGATTTCGCATGCTGCTTGTCGAAATAGCAAAATAACAAGTTTCCCACTCCAATGTTTCAAGCGGCAGGGGGGCTGAAGGCCAGTCACTGGTACCTCAGCCAACGAAGACTACCAGTGACAGGGCGTGGAAACGTACCTGCGAAAAAGAAACAAAGGGGAGAGTGCACCTGGGTCTTCGTGACAGCTGGTGGCCTACATGAAGAATTCTGGGGTCCGTCGTGGCAGCTGGAATCCTCACCCCTTACAGCAGCCCCCTGTGGTGCCAAGATTCGCCTTGAGTCCCCATTGGTTCCGGAACCCCGAAATCTTCATGCTTTCAAGATACATCAAGCATGGCTTGATAAACAACAGGTCAGTGGCTGCGAAATGGATGACCAAGTGTGATCCAGGTAGTTGCAAGCTGGTCTTGTATTCGTTTACCGTGTTACCTGTGGCGGATCAGCCCGCGCGAGTGCATGCCAGATTTGATACGATAAAGGCAGGGATAACCTGACTGGTTCCCGAAGTGGAACCGCCAGGTCCGACTGAAATCTCTGCTTTGATGGTGCCGGCATTCGATGCAATCTGTCGCGATGTTTTTCCGTTACCTGCTTTATGCCAGCTTCAGGTCTTGACCTTGTTTGAACCGCATGGATGTCTACATCCCTCCTGATCGCGTTACTCGACAACAGCCTCGGCGCATTCACCTGATAGTTTGCGTACGTGATACAATCCTACAATCACCTATCGCATCAAGGAGATCACACGAAAAGTACCAGAACTAGTTTCAAGCGTTCTTTCTGGCGCAGGATAGACGTAGACTCTGTGACTTATCTCCGGTGACATCTCAAGCAACACTGCTGCCAGTGACATTCGTTCGCACAGCTCCAGACAGTCAATTTCGCCAATGACGAAAAACAAGAGTCCAGTACCCATGCTGAGCAGCACAATCAATGCTTTCACGTTGGTGGCTTATAAGCGGGATATGCGGGTTTTTAATACACGAAGATTGCAACAACAGCGCCATGGAATCTACTACGGCGTCCAGCTCTGGAACCACGGTGTGCGAAGACGAGAACGTCAACAGCCGACTAGCAGTGGAAGTCCCCCTCAACAAGGCCCTCATCATGATGATACTGCCGTACCATCGCGAAGTCCGAGCGCGAGTAGTAGTACTCCGAAATGATGCAGACACCGACGGCAACACGGACGCAGCAGATCGCGACAATGATGTCGTAGCCAGCGCCTTTGACAACATCTACAAGAAACACACCTTGACACACCGAGAATTTCCTAGCAAACAATTCAATGACATGTACCACATCGTGAACCGACTCGACATCACGCAGCTGATGGAGCTAGCAGAGTACATCGCCCGAAGGATACGAACGGCCATCAGGTACATGTTCGGAGGGGTCCGGTGCTTTTCCAAATGCGGCAGATGTGAAGAAGCGCGGCAAGATTACCATGTATATCGAGTACAGCGATTTCAGCACGTGTCCTACGCACAAGAAGACGAGGATCACCATCAGTGGCACAACAACAGCTTTGTTGGTTTCATGCAGACTAAGAGGACGGCAAGATCTAGCAGAACCGAACAGGAAGACGATGTCGCAGCCGAAAAACAGTTATGCACACAGCGTCGGGTGATATCACAGCATTACAGTTCCTGACAGCCTCAAGTCAGGATGTCCTCAAAGGAGGTGTCTGTGTAAGCTCCCAAACTACAACGGGCTTAAGTTTGTCAGCGCAATAAGAGTGCTGGCACCAACGAAGACCGCTTTTTTTCTGTTGATGGGTTCGTGGACGCACGAGCCTGTACCTGCCATTCAGCTTGTGACATATGATCGTATACGTTGTGCTTGGTACCATCCTTTGACATCAGCGCTGCGCAATGCTTCCACTTCGTTTGCAGCGATAGAGACTGAGATTCAGGTGAAACGTAATTAACAGGTGTTCCGCTTGATCTCGTAAGGGCCGATGAAATCCGAGAACTCGCCATCGCTTCTTAGATAGCGCCGCCAGGCCGGGCGTGCGGGGAATGCCAGGAGGCGATCACGACCCACTTGCTGCACCTGGGCACCCAAACCCTAGACCCAAAACTCAAAACCCTGATCAACCCTAAACAGCAAGGAAACCCGAGCCTATTGAGAAACCTCCCATAACATTTTCTTCTTACTGGTCTCAGCTGAGTTCTGAACTCAGCATTGAGTTGATATCACTGTTGAGAACACATTACTAGAAGTCTGGGTGTTCGAGTGAGTTTGCGTGTGCGTGCGTGCGGGCGGGCGGGCGGGCGTGCGTGCGGGCGTGCGTGCGGGCGTGCGTGGGCGTGCGTGTGGGCGTGCGTGTGGGTGTGTGTGTGTGTGACTGTGTGTGTGTGTGTGGAACACCTGTGTGCCAAGGTTTGCTAATATGTATGATTTTTGCCGGGGGGCAACCCCGTGAGCATAGCTGGTTGCCCAACGAAGAGGGCTATGCCACGGCTGATACTGGGTCTGATCAACCCAGCGTACCTGCCAGTTTTTTGCAAGTGTTATGGCTCGGGGCTAAGCCGAGAACCCCAATAAGTGTGTTTGATGTTACTGCCTAGTGGCTTAAAATCCTATACCTCTATGTTGAAAGACTGAGTTCCGACAATTATCATCAGTCCAGAGGGAGGATTGCACGAGTGTGTGTGTGTGTGTGTCACCTCCTCATCACACGGGTGCAGATGCTCTTTTTTACATGCAGCGCAGGTCGAAATGGTCCACGGCCGATTTGATTCGACCGTCCGGCCTGATTTGAGCCTTGCCTCGTGTTTCCCCCGCCCCCCCGCCAACACTTGCAGCAGGCTGGTGCGACCGACGCAACATCGACCTCAGCGGTTGTTTTGACCGGGAGGCGGCCTCTGTCTTGACGCCTTCGAATCACCAACGTGAATCCTTTAAACTAAACTTCCGGCGCCCTGTGTTTGCTCTGGGTTTACTCCACGGATCAACAAGGCCCTCGAACTAGTCAAGGAGCACAAACGGTGTTTCTTGGACAATCCGGCCGCACCTTCGTACCCCCGTCTCCCACTCTGCACTGTGCGGGTTGAATCGGGCTGTTGGATTGTGTACATCGCGGAGGCCGTCGTGGACCGTGTTGCGGCCACTGCGAAGCAGGTGCCGCTGCTCCGTTCAGAGTTTGTATTGAGAGTCATGCAGCAAGTACACAGGACATGGCACGGGACGGCGATGACTTTGAAAGGACGCTTGTGTCTTTCGAAAGCATGTTGAGGAGGCGTGATGTTGCCAGATACGAAGGACAGACCGTGTCAACCAAGTTCGTGTTGCATCGCGAGCACTGGCCCTGGAGCCCGTTCATGCGCGGATGCCTGTGGATGGATGTGGTTTCAGGTGAAGACGGATGGCTCCTACACAAAACCACCAACGCTTGACCGCCGCAACTCACTGTATGGCCGGGCCGTGTCGCGCACATGACGGTACATGTCAGCATGCCGCTGAGTTTTGCGATTTCCTGCATATATCGGCACCTTTCGTTTTATCGAAGGCCAAGTAGTTGCCCAATCGCGGTCTACATCGATACTCGTATCATAATTGGTGTGTGGTCATCAAAGCACAGGCCAAGGGTGCCAATGTTCTGCGTAAGTTTGGTACGACGGCTGTATGAGTCGGGAAGCTTCCATTCCATCCTGATCATGCATCCAACTGCCCGAGTTGCACGGCGTTCTTGTCTGTGCCTCAATCCACGGCCCCCGCCACATCAACGGCAAGTTTTTTGCCCATGCTTCTCTAGCCCAGCCCAGTACTTTCAATGTATTTTTAGCGCGACCAGCACTGTGACAGAACTCAACGACTTGTTGACTTGTTTCGCTACTGTGAAAGAACAGAACGGATGCAGAAGTGGGAGGGAGCGGGGGCAAGGCACGGAAGCGTGGAAGAGAGGTGGGTTGGAAACTTTGCAGTAGGTGGAGGGTACCTGAATTAACTCCCAATACGCCTGGGCCTGCGGCCTCGGCGGATTCGTTAAGGAGACGGTCACCAGGCACATTGTAGAAGGTCCAATCCCGACTTCGAAGAACCGACGAGAACTTCTTCCCACACCTGAGTAGCCAGAATCGAGAGAGCACCAAGCAGCACGCCACGCGCAGGCAATCGAATCGAACGATTCGTTGGCCCTGAAGCTGACGTCCTGTCGGTCGCTGAGCAGTGGACTGTAATGGTGCGGCGGTCCAGCCTGGTGGGAATGTACTGTTAGGCCATGGCTCTACAGCTCGGGGGACAAATCTCGGCTTTATGGAGTGTACTTCGGAAGCGAGCTGATGACTTGGTCGGAGACGAGACCAAGCCTGCGGTTGTTGCCGATGCACATGCCGAATGCCGAGGTTTGCATACAGTCTGGTGTGGAGGAGGCTTCTAACCAGAAATGACTCCCGTTAGGGTGGTGTCAGTGTGTCAGACCTGGGAGTCCTCACATCAGGCAAAAATACTGGGGAAGACCAGGTGGAAACAGGCCCGCTACTGTCCTGCTTTCAGATGACTGGACGTGCCCTGCGGGTGCAGGCCTAACCGTGAGGAGCGGTGGTAGATTTAGCTGCGCTCAGCCTGGAAATAGCTGCTCCGAGGTCTAGCCACTCTAGTCTCGTCGGTGATTGCACGCCCGGTGTTGGATCGGCATCGGCTCCAGGCACATGTACCAGACGCAGACAGTTCAGAATGGGATCTGCGCAGTACAAGCTTAAGCAGTCGAAGTGTGAGAGCCAATTGCAGCAACAGCTGCCCCCTGCACAGCATGCTGTCGCAGCTGTGCAAAAGCTTGCTGATCGCGCATCCAACTCTTAGCTACGACTGCACTATTTCGCTTCCGGCACGGCAGACAACTGAAACTCGGTAGAACTTTGCCGCTGGATCAGAAGCCGTGGATCACTCCCGATCTGGTGGCTGGGCTGGCTGCGCTGGCTGCGGGTGGTGCCAGCATGCTGAACGTCGAGGCTGTTGAAAGCCGCTTCCTTGCGGAGCGCAGCCGCATGACGGCTCAGGAGTTCGTTTGCCCGGAGCTGCGGCTGGCTATGTGTCATGCCATCCTGCCCGGTTTGAATGGGCCCAGTGCTCACCAACTGCAAGGAAGTGAAGCACTAGTAGAAGGAGGGGCGCAGTGCTTCCATGGACTGGCAGCCACTTAAGAGCCAGGTGAAAGAGGCCATCCGAATCATCATGTTTCAGCCCTCAGCTTTCGGCATGTTCAGTTTCAGTGGTGCAGCTGCAAGACACTCAGCCACTCAGCATGTCCAGCGAAGGCATTGTCTTGTTGTATGCCGAAGTCTTGGTGGCACCCAGCCCATCGTGTCGGCCACAGTCCAGTGCAGTCGTTGGCACTTCAAGCAGTTTTGTTGCTGATCGCTTGTCCGAGGATCTCAAAGCAGTGGTCTCTGAGTTGTTTGACGTAGAGTACCTGAAGATCAATGACAGCCAGTTGGTGCAGGCGGCTGCTGCCCGGCTGCTCACCTCTTCTTCTTGCAACTTTCGACTCTTCTCTCCGTTTCCATGGCAAGGAGGTCGAGCGTTTAGTCGAAAAGTTCTCTGAGATCCTGGAGAACAATGCTGACAAGTCAGGCAAATCTCACCGAGCCGGGAGATCAGAAACGCACGTTCAAATCTAGATTCTGTTGCCTGCGGAGGCCGTGCTCAGCTGGTGTTCAACTTGTACACAGCCAAGAATCGCAAGCAAAGCATTTGGTGCGCAGCTTGCGCTTGAGATCCGACCCGAGAGGCTGAGCCTGAGCCTTTAGTGATCAGCAGCAGGAACATACTGGTCGGCAGCGACGAGAAAATCGTCTTCGAGCAGTGGCGCATCCCCGTCGCCGTGCAGCCACTGAACAGGCACGCTTTCGTTGTGGTGCTTGCATTGCAGATGCAGTTGCAGAACTGGCTTACTTGCAAGGGCAGTCGTGGAAACATCTGACAACAGTGTTGTACTCGAGAATCTGGGCTTTGCATGCGGGCCGAGGTATTTGAATCCTGCTGACAACTTGCGCGAAGAGGCCAATTTGCAGGCACGCTGGCGCAGCCAAAAGCAAACACAGCTTTGCAGTGGAGCTTCCAAGTCGGTCGATGCTTCGAGCTCCAGCTCTGGGCAGGCCTCTGCTTCGCAGCAAGTCCAACAGGTTCTCCACTACGTCATCGCCAGGGCCAACGCCAAGGACCAGCCGACGGCAGTGCAGAATGGCAGCTTTGAGGGTCCTTCATGCGGCCATTGCTCCCAAGAGATGCTGATCTTGAGGTGGAGCATCTTCCGCCTCCGGACAAAGAGCAGACGGCCTACAACTTCGACGTTGCTTTCTTATCAGGTGATGGCAAGGACGTGCGCTGGATCGTAAGAGCACGTCGGGCTGCCGGTAGCATGGCTGGCAGCGAGCACTTGGGCTTCCGTCCTTTCTGCTCCTTTCGAGGACATCGGGGCCGGGTCTTTGCTTCGGCAGGGCCTGGGCTCCTCACTTCAAACGATCCGCCAGATGCCGCCGCGATCTCACTTCGCTCAGCATAAGCAAGCCATGCCTGTGCGTTTCGGGGCTGGGCAAGGTACATGGCATGAATCTGACACAGCTCCCTCGTGACCGACATGTACATAGACCGGCAGCAAAACTTGCTGTGAGCAGCTTCGGACAGTGTGGACTTCATCGCCAGCAGAGTGCAGTAGTGCGGGCCGCGTGCTTCTGCATGGAACAGACACAGCTTACATTATCTTACATTTATTACACATCATTAGCAGAGATGACAAGCCGCCAAGCTTGAGCGAAGATCTCATCGAAGCAGTTACTGTGTTGTACATTTATGCTTGCAGCATGCAGTCTACTCAAGCGGCTTCACATGGTCGTGAGCTGCGTAGTATGTGCGAAGTCTGCAGTGATCCCACGAAGGCTGCATGCAACGCTTGAACCGGCCTTGAGGTGCGAAAACAGTGCTAGCCCAAAGCCAAGTTCGAGCTATCGTGGACATGAGTGGTAATTTGCAGACACAGCCAACCCTTGCAGCGCTGGCCCAAGGCGTTTGTAAGAAGCTCCCACTGATCAGCATGGCACTGACATGCATCTTGGGAGGCTGGAAATCGTGGGATAAGAAGCACAGCCATGGTTGTTTTGGAACCATGAACTTCTGTTTAGGACATGGCTCCGGCATGCCGTTCTCTTGATTCTGTCTACTTCCACTGCCGGAAATTATCAGTACGGCCGGCATGTGTTTAAATGAAGAGGGACAGTGGCAGCTCCTGGGGCATCAATCAAGAATCGCCTGGCAGGCGCGACCCGTGCGCGACTGCATTGCTCTTGGTCGCACACCGCGATGATGAGACCTTCTTTGCAGGTCATTCCCTGCAGTGGCAACACTGGGTTTCACAGACGTAGACTCTCGAGTCTCTAGTTTCTTTGTTGTGTTCATGGCCGATCTCAGGTGAGGCACTGTTAGGCCGCAAAGCTTCGCTTCCCTGGGGGTGCCGCAGGGTGTGGTGGACTCGATCTCAGAGCAGCAGCAAAAGCCCACGGAGTCTTCATCTCGCTTCATGCTCGCAGCAAGCTGCTATCACCTAGGCATGTGGTCGTGGTTGCTGGAGGAGGTGACCAGAGCACTCGCGAGGCTCGGTGATGTTCGAGAGGTGTCGAACGGTGTGTTTAGCATGTTGCCTTGGTAAGTCGATGTCGTCAGGAGCTGAACGCAGTCTTGAACATTGCAAGGTTCGACAAAAGTAACAAGTAGTACCTATTGCATGGATCCTCCTTTGCCAAACTGCTGACGCACCAGGTCGCATACTGTAGCCGCAATAATCGTGGAGGAGGCCGGTGCAGCTTCATTTCTGGAATACTGTATCGTCCTCCATATGGCACATGAGGTTTGGGACTATACTGACTGCAACATGCCGTATGAAGCTCAGTCTGAGTTGACACACGAAGCTCCTGGATAGCTGCCGGTCAGTATGACTGCCCACGCCGTGCAGCCAGCTGAGGTATTGCTCCGAGTTTCTAGGCCGGCAGAAAGGGCACGAAGATGATTTACATTCCTTGTGCAGATTCTCCACCCCATGACCTGAATGCAGATGGATCCGTTCCGATACAGAAGCGCCTTCATGACATTCTCGCATTACGCAAGGGCCAAAGCATGATGCGGCTTTTCTTCAACTCGTCGCAGCCTGGGTGCAGCGTTCTCAGGCAGCTGGGATTATGTCGTGACCCACAACGAGCAGGGAGAGTACGGCACCAAGAAATTGTAGTGCACCGTCCTTGTCAATTGCCTCCGGCCTGTGAGAAAGGTATCATCATTATCAGCACGCGGGCAGGCGTCTCAGTGTGCATGAGCCAAGCTGCCGCGACTTAGACGTTGAAAGATTTTGCTGGTGCCAGCTCTAATCTTCTTGCTGGGCCGGGCTTGGCCTGCCGCAGCAGAGCCTGCAAAATCGTGACATGGTCAGGCAAACTGAAACTAAACTGGCAGATTAACCACGGCGCTGGTCGCCAAAAACGAATCGAAGCCAATTCCTCTGTCTTACGGTCACGATCGTCTCCTTGGTCGGCAAACTCTGAAATGGGCCTGTGGTTCCATAATCCTTCGTTGCAGGAAACGTCTTGCCAGAAATCTCCACTGCTACCGCTTCCTGCATTTCAAAAGTTCCATTCACAGCTTTGTCAGAGATTCACAGATTTCACAGCCTTACAAGCGAAGCCTTGAAAAAGAAGAGAGCTTTGCGCTCTTAAGCTTGTTCAGTCTTTTTCGTGTCTAGTGGGGGTTTGGAGTTGACTTGTGGCCGTGTCGCGCTCGGGCTTCCCACCACGTGCGTTTAGCACATGACATTTTGAGCTCTCGCCACACTGGCATGTGCATATTTGGGCGGAAATCCTGCTAATAAGCCCGGGCTGCGAAACAGAACGCAACGCTGTGCAACGCTGGAGGCCTACATGTCGCAGTCCGAGTTCACACCTCGGCGTTGCACATGCACCGGCTCAGCAGTTCTACGGCAACGCCCATTCTCCCTGATTTCAGGATGCCCTGCAGAAGTTCGAGAACCCGCCGCAGCTGCTCGTGTTGGACTTGACTCTTGACTGTCGCGATGGCAAACCATGAGACCGGCTGACAGCGCGAGGTGTTCAATCCCATGCCCGAGCTCAACGTCTCCGTGAGTCCTGGCAAGGCTCGGATGCTGGAGGCCAGGCGGGCGAGTGGGCGAATGAGCGTGGATGCGAGATGGGTCCGACGGACGGTCCGAGTAGAATCCCTGCAGCTCCTTTGCGTGTGGGGCTGCAGAATCTCAGAAGGGTATTTGAGCGTTTGACCCCAGTGGTGGAGCGCACCCTTTCTACACAGGACAGGCCACACAAACACGGACATGGGCACACACACACACACCGCACATGAAACTCAGAATGCGAGAGCTGCATTCTTTGTGTGATAGTTCACTCAGGCACCCGTCTGCGGCTCAAACCTCAAAATCTGTGATGTCTTCCAGAGGCTCGGCTCCCTTGCTGATGAATTGATGATGCTCGTGGTGTTGCATTAACGAAAGTGACATGCAGATGTTGGTTCCAAGTACGTCAGACACAATTCAATGATATACAAAACTGAATGAGATCATCCGTATGGGGTAAGGTTTCTGCCCAGGTACATGAGACACCGGGAATTATGTAGCACGAGGTGCTATGAAGATGAATATGAGGCTCCCCTAGCTATCCCGGCGGGTAACATGAGTGAGACCTGCAATGCACGGGAAAGTTTCGGTGGGTGGAGCTCCCAGACAGCCTCTCCGTCCCCCTGCTGCATGAAAGTCTTAAACAGAAGAGCTGCTGTAGATACCCTTGGAAGTTCGGGGTTCACACACGCACACACACACACACACAAAAAAAAAAAACACACACACACACACACGCGCCGTCTGTTGGTCGGTCAGTCTGTTTGTCTGTGTGCTGCGTGTCGGAGGGGAGTGGTTTGGACGGTGGAACCCGAACCCTTACCAGTCTTCAAGGACAGCCGCTGGATATCTAGGCTGTCGATGATCGGTGGTGGCTCTATTGAGGAAATAGCCTATCTGGCGGGAGCTGTCCCTTTCACCCGTGGGCACGAACACTTTCACCCATGCACTTGTTGATAGCTGATGCTTTCTTCTTCTTTCTCAAGCTGGAGGACGCAGATCCGACGATTGCTTTGCCTCCTCCTGAGGTTTGATTTGCCAGAGCTGCTGGCGGCATGGCGCACTGACTTGCTTCTCATCGAGCCCTTGCTTTTCCGAAATCGCGCTGCCACTTACCGAAATGCACCGGACCTGCTCTCAAATCATGGACAGGCTCCTTCTTGAGTTTACGGTGTTCTGGGAATCTCTTGGCGGCTTTTCCTGAGCTTCTGACCCCTAGTTTGCAGGTGCATGTTGAACTCCCCCCTCTCCTCCTCCCCTCGGCGGACTTCGCATTCGCAACTCTCTGTTTGGCAGAGTCGCGAGGGACCCTCACCCTCTCTTTGACTATTCTGACGGCACGCGAGCACGGAAGTAATGCTTCTGAAGGTATGAGGGCCCGTCTTTGCGAATCCATGCTCAACTTTTTAACCATTCAGAAGCTGTTCCGGGAAGCACAGGGTGTTGGTTCCAGAATCCGCTCCCTCATGTGTTCGCATTGTTGTTCCGTGGTTTGCATTCTTGCGTTTATTCTTTAAGATGCTTCGACCTCGCATCAATGCTTCTGTTCCAGATTCTACATGATCTGCTTTTATACTCTTGCTTGCTTTGTACACGGCTTCCACAAACCCGGGCTCAGGGGTTCAAGGAAGGAGCATCAGCTAAGTTTTGGTGACATTGACAGAGTAGTCAGGTAATGCGGGAACAGGGGCTTCATTGGCAGCCTGGCGCAGGCATACATGAGGACCAAACCCACCCGCGCCCGCCAGATGACCGTGCAGGGTCTCGCAAGGCATGGCGCTGCAGCAACCTCATGCTGTTATGATGCTCCCACTGCATGATCGTCTGAGATACACCGAGCACTTGGTTCCCGCGATCGCCTTCTTCCGACCTGCCCCATTAGGCACCGGCTGTGATTTACTTACCGCGGATCCGAATGCACGGTGTCAGCACTGCGTTGTGTTTCCGGACCTCCTACATTGTCCAACATCGGCCACCGCATAGTAGAACAAGGGCAGCGGCTGATCCACTGAGAGCCCTCAGCATGCAGGTGTTGCATTTGCCCATTCTATGCAGGGCGTAGACCTACCGTTTATGCCAACCCGCCATGTTTGAAGTTCGAAGCCGGGCGGAGTCCACGGAAATTGGCGCATGCTGAGGTATGATTGGACCCTGATGCATCCCGCTGATCATTTGCCACCGCACGGCACCTGGAGCTGCCCTGGAATGCCTCTCCTGCCTTGCCTTTGCGACAGGTTTTCAGCGAAGGATTGCCTTGTCGTGGTGCAGGACAGGGACTCCAGCCAGCCATGGTGAACTAAGTTTCAGGAATCGATACGTGTTGCAGGAGGCGGTAGTCACACCAGCTCGTTTAGCCCTTGCCTTTCTACTGCGCCGAAGCCTTTTCTCCCTGTACGGTCCGTGATTCGGACTAACATCGCATTGAACTGAGCAGGGAGCCTTGAACTCTAAACGACCTGTTTAGTTCGAAACCCAAGGATGGCGGACCCCATGCTCATGAAGGGTGAGACATGTTAGCGCGGAACTGCCAGACCCCTACGGTGAGCTACAGAGAAGTGACAGACACTGCACTGTACGAACGGAGGTTGCAAGCCATGCACCAGAAGCGAGGGGGAAACCCGCAAACTCTAAGCCAATTAATATCGGGGATGAAGACTCTTGCGAGACGCAAGGCATGTCCAAACGAAGAAGTTGATGCATCTAATGCATATATAACCACAGGAGGCGCAGTGGATCCTTATTGAGCTTTGACGTGGAAGCAACGACCACCTACAGTGACACCATCGAGGTATTGGCCCATGGACAAATAAGTGATTCTAGAAGACGCGCGCGGTGAGATCTGCACCTCTGTTTCGGTGGTCTTGGAGTGCGTAGCTTCGATAGTCGCGGACAGCAGCCGATGGTTCATGGCTAACCGTCTAACCTGGCAGGAATTTTTCGGTAACACGTGGTTCAACTTCTGTGGAAGACCTGATTCTGCACAGCGAGTCTCCCAGCGCAGCTGAGTTCGTTCGACTGCATTGTTTTTCCGTGCGCCAGGGTTGCTGACTGCGACAGGTATCCAGATGTTTGCAGGGCATTGAGACGAGAGAAAGACCAGCTTTCTTCCCGGCTGGTGGCTCTTTTCCAGAACTTCGAGGACCTCCGCAAGAGCAGCTTCGAAGTTGCGTCTTGCGTGCTCAATCGGCACAGGACATGGCGCATGCTCATGAGGCCCTCTGAGTCTGAGGGGACTCGCACGGGGTGACTGTGTGACATCCAGAAATCTTTCCACAAAGCGAAGGTCGGCAAAGTGCCGATGCCTTCGCCTCACACTCCAACTCTCAGGTGTGGAGACTTCTTTCTGCAAGCATACTATACTATAGGCGACTTGCGGCGACGGTGTTGAGAGTGGGAGCCCTGTGGAGGTGCTCGAAGATGCGTAGAATTGGATCCTTTGGAGAGGTGGTTGGCTGGGAAGTCCTTGCAGAGGCTTTGCTCTGGTGGAACCTTACAAAGAGAGAAGGCGAGCTTCTAGCTGCGGCTTTTCCGGAAGGTGCGAAATCCCTGCTATGTCGTGCTTCTGGTCTTGCGGAGGATCATGGTTGGTTGGAAAAAGGTGTGGAGGGCATCTTGTTTACCTCGCAGCTATTTCGAACGCCGTGTCAGGGCTACCAAGGGCGCACCTACAAAGTACTTCGCCGGGAACTGAGCACTCACTACCTCCAAGGGGTTCACAGGTGCTTGGCGCTCTTTGGGAGGCGCAACAGAGCCCAGGCTGCTGACAAGCGTACGCCAGGCAGTTTCGCCTTGAGCAAATTGGGCCGATTAAATATGACTCTGACTCTCCCTGTCGAATGCAGAATGCAGGAGATGAGTTGGGATGAGGTTGACCCTGTTACCGTGCAGCCGGACGACGTTGCCCTGTTCCCGGTGGTCCCCGGCGCCTTCCAATTTAGAAACGCTGCTTGCTTCTTGCGTTGGTGGCAAGGTTGGCTGGCAGATCTTCTTGCAGACAGATGACATTAGCAGCCTCAGCAAGTATCCAGTTGTGCCGGAAGACGGCGCAGACGAGGCCCACGCGAGCAGATGCGTCTTTTGCATGCACTGTTTCCTTGCTGCTATTGCTGTTCCATTGCAGTTTTGCATCGGTGGGCGTGGCTGTGATGAGGCCACACAACTTCAGTAGATCACTGGTTTGCGATTGGCTTCGGTGGAAGCATCTCCGGCCGTTTCCGCGTTGAGACATCGCTTTGATGAGGCGGGCCTTTGTACCTTTGACATTCAGCCTCCAGAGGCAGGAATGCTGCAGCATACACGAGCAGTCAGACATTGTCAGATCAGCCGATGCTGCTGCTTGCTAGGAACTGATGCCAGATCTGCTTGTGCAGAAGGCCCTCCGATGGTTCGTGAGTTGCGGAGGCAGCCTGAACTTTGACAGGTCTCCGTGCGAGTCATGCCACGTCGCTCTCCGCGGCAAGCACAACGAAATCCTTTCTTCGACGCCCTTGGACATGTTAATCATTGCCATTTGCCATGTGCACATCTGAGCATCATGCTTGCGACTGCTTCTGGTGCAGGTGATGCCTGCCCTAAACATCTCGGAGTACGTTGATGAGAGTACGACATACGAGGCATGGCTTTGCACTCTTCTGTAGCCATGATACTGGAAGACAGTAGCAAAGCGCCTTTTTGGGTGTCGCCTCGAAGCGGCTCTCCGTTTGCTGATTTCAAGACTATGTTGAACTGAACACAGTGACTCGTGCACCCTTCCGTATCCTACAGTAATAGATGAAAATTGCTTGCTTTTGAACTTGACTGGGAGCTTAATGAACCCGAGGCTTGCAAAACCGGGCTTAGTGAGGGGCGTAGGGTGGTGGGATATGTGCAGAAGATCGGCTGATGCAAGCATGCGAGCGAGAATTTGACCGCGGTCGGAATGTTGACTCTGGAAGTCATGGTATGTACGCAAGGGAATAGTCGCGAGCGTGTGCTGAAGTCGCTGTCCTTCAGGAGCTTATGACCATAAGACAAAAGCTCGCCAAGAGCTGAGACCAGCAAAGCAGAACTGTCCAATTCAGTACAAGTAAGCCAGCTCTCGCATCAGGACCACTCTGACTTGGGCATGTTCGAGGATTGTCGCTCCATTCGCACGGGAGAGCCAGAGCATAGCAGCAGCATAGAAGGACAAGATCCGCTTGCGAACAGAGCTTTTGCCTGCAGCCGGAGTTCTCGCCACACCGAGACCCTGCCTTGGTAAGCACTGTGCGAAAGGATGTCGCATAGCATGTCATTGCGTCGCGGACGCTTAGGCATCCACCTGTCGAACACCGACTTCAACATTGCCCACTTAATTGCAGGGCGACAGAGCTACGTGGTGCGCGGCTCGGATTGCTCGTCATGAGAGTCGATTGCGGCTGCTGGTGTGCAGACCTGGTCAGGTCAAGCCTTCGCACATGTCCGAGTCGCAGAACGTTTTCGTTATGCACAACGGCCGATGGCCCGGTCCTGGACACGGCAGTGCTACCGCATGTGCTGCCTAAGTCGCATGAGGCAACCAGGAGCGTTCGCTTCTGTAGCCTAGGGCCTAGAGTAGCCCTGGGCCCGAGGAATGAATCTACTGCGACAAGCTTGGGGCTGGCCCGGGACATCATCGATAGAGGAAATTCAGGCTTTTGACTTGCGCTGCGGAAAGAGAGAGAGGTGATAAGAGAAGACATGAGAAGACTGACAGGCTGCCGTGCACCAGTTTTCCGAGCAATCGGCACTGGACTGGGAGCCACCCGGCACCAAAAACGCAGGGTGTGGTTGTCGCGGCCCTGGTCCATGAACAGGTGCAAGGCACTGGTGGCAAGCCAGCCTGGAGTTATCGTGGAAGAGCTCGTCCTCGCTGAGGCGCCATCTGGGATCCTTAGAGCAGAGACCCGGGTCCTGGGCCGTGTCCGATGCTGCTAGCGGCTGCGAATGGCTGCGAGCGCAGGTCGGCGGCCGGCTTGCGGTGGACGAGTTCAAGCCCGGACCTCTGCCGCAGCGCCCTCGTCATCGGTCGCTACTCGTCGAGCTCAGGTTTTACACAGTCTTTGGCAAAGTGGCTTTCGGAGAGGTGCCATGCGGGGAAATGCAAGTGCAGATAGGCCATAGGCTCGGCGGCCCGAAATGGCTGGTGGTTCAATCTCTGTGTATTCATTCAAGACCACAAATGGCTTCGCGTTTCTGGGCGAGGAGATCTTCTCTTCAGCGGGCACTGTCATGGAGATTGATCGTGATGGGCAGATCTTGACAAACAAGGCTCCTACTGTCGGCCGAGAAATCCTGATAAATGATTTGTTGCCAGATGGAGTGCCCGCCTTTTTGTGTGCGGCCTTGCTACACACAAATGGTGGAAATTGCTGAGAAGGCACTTTGCTTGGCCTCGTGCAGTGAAGAACGGCTTACTGTTGTTTCTTGCTGGCCAGGTGGCAACCCATGCAAGAGCTGACTTTCTGCGTGTGGATGTTCTAGACTCCGTCCCAGTAGCATCCATATGCAAGTAGGGTTAATGGTGCACGGCATGCACTCGAAAATTCCCAGGTTCAAGGGAGCTGCAGTGGCCTTTACGTGAGTGAGGCCAGCTGCAGCGGCGAGAAAGAGCGAGAGGACCATTTATGGTGGTATTTGTCTTGAGAAAGGTTCTGCGCATGTTCCGTGACTGAAATTAATTAGTCGCGGGTTTCTGTTGAGATTTCTGTTTCACAGTTTAACGTATGCTCGGCACGGATTTCTGAGCTTCGATTCGAGGGGTGCAGGGGTAGAGGGCTTCGGTGCAGTCCAGTCTTGTCCAGTCCTTTTGGCCCGTGGTCCCCCAACCCGAAGTCGTCGTACCGACACACAGGGCGGCGCAGCAACGTGTGGGAGCCGTTGGCAAGAAGAGGGAGAGAGAGGAGTGAGGGTTAGAGTAGTGGACCGCTCATACTGTTTCGGTGCCATACCCTCGATCCTGCACTCCTGCCGGCCATATTGCTTCAAGTGTCTGAGATCAGAAGTACGGACCAGCGTGGTGGGTGAATCTTCTCTTCATGTCAATGTATTGACTTGTGGGGGCACCACGACGCTTGAGCATTCCGGGTTTTAGCTGCCCAAGCGTTTTTCCGCAAGTCGTGGCCTCTGAGACGGGCTCTTCTCACGGTAAGGACTTAGCGGGCGGCATGCTCTCGGATGCTCAGTGCACTAAAGTACTAAAGAACGCGAGCAAGGAAAATCAGGCAACTCAGAAGGCTAGATTCTAGAGAATCTGAGTGGGTCTTGGCAGGTGGAGCTTTTTCCTGCAAGTGATTTCAGTCCCTTCCTGAAGGCCTCGCTGGCACAAATGACGATATTTGCTGGTGCTGGTTTCTTGTGCTGTGCGTATTGCGCCGCACTGTTCAGGAAGCTGTTGCGGCCCGATGGCGCGAGGGCTATGCTGCCTGAGGCAAAGGTTGTCTGAGTCACGGTCCCATCTGCAAGACGAAAGCAAGGTCTAATTATGCTGGCGGGGAACATCCGAGAAGAGGTTTCACTGTCTGCGGCCATTGAGAAGGTTTCTGATCACAGTTATTGAACTGCTGCAAACGTGCATTATGTTCCAGGTCTAACCACTGCACTTTACGATTGGTCAAGCGTGGCACGCAGCACGACATTCGGTGCATCCCACACTGCAAGATTACATTTTCGACGGCGGACAGAAAAGCGCTGGTCCGTAATGTGTCGCTCTTAGCACAACTACCCTGAATCGGCACTCCGTCATGCAGCCGTTGCTCGCAGCGGGGCTGCTCCTTCGCAGCGCGATCGCGATGGCAGAGCCAGTCACGCTTCAGGCGAGGCGTGTGCAAAAAGGAGGCACAGATGCCAGCACGTCGGGCAGCCGGGCAGGTGGAGGTCCCGGAAGGAATAGGACCAGGCCAGCACTTTGGAGGTCTGGAACCAGCTTTCCGCAGCATTGCCAGGTGCGAACTTCAACGTCAGCACCCCGGATGGTCAGGTGCCGGCGCCCTGTGAGGATCTTGTATCGACACAGGCCAATTGGGAAATTTTTTATCTCTGCAGGTTCTCCATTTCGGCTCTTGGCCAGGTCTGCCTATAGGGAGCCCAAGAGCAGTGAAGGGGCTGCTGGTCCTGGCATGGCTGGCATAGTCAGACGAAGTCCCGAAGCTCAGCTTACAGCTGCGATTCTGAGTGCGGGCAGAGGCAGCCAGTGGCAGCGTGTCTTGAAGCTGCTCGCTGGCAGTGTCACATCGGCCGCCGAGTCGGCTCCAGTCCCGGCTTCTTGGCAAGATTGGGGGTTCTGACTCTGACTGCAGGAACGATCTGTGCTCGGAAGGTTGGGCCGGTGTCACTTGAAGTGAGCGCTACAAGTACCTGCATCGTCGATGTCGTCGAAAAAACCGCTGTCAATTCACACGTTCCCAGCATAGTGCGACTCGGAGACCCCGAACAAACGCTCGCTTGGACTGCTCTGCTGGGGCAGGACACAGTAAAATCGCCGGAGTGACAAAATTCGAGGGCTCACCAATATCACAGGGTCATTCGCTCTACCGTGTGACTCTCGAACCTCTACCTCAGGATTTGATTTGCTTCGGTGCAGCACTTTCGACAATCGGCAAGGCGGGGCGGTAGCCGGTAGCCAGTAAGCAGCACAAACGTGGGGTGGCGAGCTTCCAAGTTAGCCTGGACAGGCAGAAGCATGGGAGGCGACTGTGCTCATATTGGGAATGATGAAAGATGCGGGCGTGGAGTGCGACACGCAGGGTGCTTTCGAATGCAGTTGGTGTTATGGAACTTAAAACCCACAGCACACACACCTCTATTTAACCTTGTGCATTCCGTCTGCTGGACAGGTCTGAATGCGGCACTGAACGCCTGCAGCAAGAGCACTGCATGGGAGGCGGCACTCGGCGTGAGGCCTCCGGGCCGATGAGCGGGGCGGGGACAGGGGAAAGCTCCGCGAACCACAGCGTGTGCTACTCTGTGCCTAGCAAGGTGGCATTTTGGAAGTCTGGCCAGCACAATGAGCGACGGAATGGTGATGAATGCTCTCGCCAAGGTGGGAGAGCTTCAGGTAAAGCACGTGAAGTTGTTTGGAGCTTATAAGTCTTAAGTGGACTGTGCGGCTAGTGCACGCTTGTTGTTCACGATTCACGAAACACATGCAGATACCTGCAGCGTCTTCCGTACCAGTTCACATTCGCAAAGCTGTGGAGATCTCAGGCCGCTCAATGGACTATGGCACTGGCCCTGCTATGGGAGTCAGGGTTACAGGCAGACACAACATATTCCTAAGTCTCAGTCCGTTTCGCAGCTCGTATAAGCCTGCACATGATGATGCAGGCAAATACAATCATATTTAGCTCTGCTGTCAGCAGCATGGCTGCACAGCGAAGAGAGTTCGGCTTTGCAGGGAAGACCGCGCAAGCACTTGTCTGCGAAGCCCGAGGTGCGTTCGCGGCTGATGGCAGATGGAGACTGGCCATGGCCACACTCGAAACCATGAGGGAGCAGTTTCTAGAGCCGAACGACATCACAATGAATGCCGTGCCGAGCTCGGACTTTGCAGTCCCTCCATTGCATGGAGCAACAGACTGACAGAACCAACGCGAACTGCGCGGCAAAGGCGATCTTTGCTTGTGCCACGGCGCGCCGTTGGGAGGAAGCGCTGTGCCTTCTTGCGGACACGTCTAGACTCAGGACAGGGAGCGGCATGAGCTTTACAACATCTAGAATCTAGAATCTATACTTTACATTTCGAAACTGGTCCGCAACACGACGTTTGCAGGATGGCGACAAGTGTTTCCTACAGTTCTGCAATCAGTGCTTGTGAGCATGCAGGGAGGCGGATCTTTCCAGTCGCAGATCATGCAAAGCTGATCTCGTAGCCCATATTGCAGTGTCGGTCACCTGACTCTGGTTTTCGTTACCTGCTCATGGTTTGCATTGGGAACTGTTCATTTTGCCCGTGGTCCGTGCAGATGGGACGTCGCATTGGCATTGCTGCAACAACTTGGCGTTGCACATCTGCGGGCCAATGCTATTTGTCACGAGTCTGCAGTACTATCACAAACTCTACATGATTCTGGAAGCCTGCGCCGAATCTACACAATTTGGAATTCTCTAGGAAGTTTTTCTTGCGCTGTTGCCTGGGCTGAGTGCCCGGTCACTAGTCGGAAGAACGAAACAGGTCCAGTCGGTCACTGAACGGGGAGGGTCGTGGAGACAAGGCCGCCACCCTAAGCGGGCCGACGAGGAGATTTCAGATGATGATGTACATGGACATGTGGCCTGTGTTGAGCAAATCACGTAACGTGCCGCGAGACGTTCTGTGCTCGACCAACACTATGTAGCAGGCACTGGGCGCATCGCCGGCTCGAGGTTTGTTTCTTAGTTCTGTACTCGTTGCTGCAAAGTTGTCAAAAGGAAGAACTCGCCATCTTCGTGCCTAATCAGCACGAACACTATTCTGTCTCTCATGCATGCGAGAGTGCCGTAGTAGGTGACAGAAGAGGAAGGCTCTGTGTCACCTAAGCCGAGGCTTTGGAGCTGCAGTCAGCTCCTGCGTTCGGCGTGGCAGCTGGCATGCCGGACTGGCCCTGCTGGACTCAATGTCATGTGACAATGCCATCGCCGACACCACCAGCTTCTTGGCTCCTTATCTTTGCAACAGGGCGTCCGTGGATTCGAAGCTTTGCATGGCCTGGTAAGCGCACAAGTACGAGGGTCGTTCAGAGAACTGGCTTCCGGCCCGGTGCTTGGCCACGCAGGGTTAACCTGTTTGGCCAAGTGCCTTGACGAGAGACGGTGTGGCACAAGGCGCATTGCAGGCATTACAAACGGTCGTTGACATGTTCTGCGTGTTGTTCTGTTTCCTGACTAAAGTGGAATGAAATTGTGCTGTACGAATCCACTTCCTCGTCTTCAGTGGATGTGGTGGATACATAGGCTTAGGCTTAGGTCATGCTAATCTCATCTTTCCATCCATCCTGCTAGACTCGAAGCAAATCTGTAGCAGCAGGTATCAGCTCGGCCATCAGTGCATGCGAAAATGCTGGTGAGTGGGCTGCAGCATGGCGCTTGTTGGCGCAGATGACAGCGAATGGCTCCAGGAGGCTGTCGTCTTCACAGTCAGGACATTTTCTTTTCCTTCGACAAGCTGTGAACAGCGATGCCTGTGCGCAGGGACACGATCGCCTACAATGCAGCCGTCAACTCTTGTGAAGCGAGCCACTCCCTCGGTGATTCTTGTGTCAAAGAGAGGCAGCGCCTGTCTTCCCCAGGCTTACAATGGACTAGATCGGTTGAGCTCTATGCCAGTATGGGCGGCGACAGTGTTGCCCGGTCTCTAAATGAAGAGAGGCCAGGTGTACTCCCCCATTGGCAAAGATGAGGTTCGACCGTCGTCTTCAACCTTCAACGCATTGCTCAACGGATTTCATGCGTCCTGGGTCGCAGCCAGGCTATTTTGGCACAGCTTGAATTGGTTACATGCTGAGCCATGCATGTTGGTGCATTGAGGCATCGCACAGGAGGAGCTCAAGTCTGGGAAACCCAAGCTGGGCACAGGCACTGACGCCTTCTCAACTGGCCTTGCCCGGGGTCGTATCCCAAGCGCAGGCAGTGGCGGTTCTCCACAAGATGTCTGGGACAAGGCTGTGGCTGAACGGAGTCCATGCTGCTTAGCTGACGAGCCACGCAATCGAATTCCAACTGTGAGTGGTGGTTGGAGACGGATGCTACGACTCGATTAGGCTGGCCTTTGCATCGACATTGCATTGAAGGCCGAACATCTTGCAGCATGAGCCTTCATAGACGTGATGGTTTCTTCTTTCGCCTCTACTAAGACCGACACGGCGCATGGACTTGCCTTGAGAAGTTGGTTAAGTTCATCGTGCAAAGGCCAAAGGTTTGCAGAAGAGGTTTCAAGTTTGTAGGACATAGTGTTTTGTCCAGAAACCGAGCTGCCTCGGGATTTGCTTCTGTCTGTGTCAGTGTGCACATTATTGCGCATTGTTAGCACAGAGTGAGAACGAGAAGGAACACAGCAACAGACAGACTCCATGCGCTTCCCCGCAACTTGACCTCGACTGCAGTCTGGCGAGGGTGCGCTCGACTGACTTCGTGCGAAAGAGGTTGCGAGGTAATCAAGTCAGAACCCCAAGCCGGTCGCTGGAACCTAAGTTGGAGAGAGCTTCGTCTGCCAGGACGAGCAGCTTGATATCATCTGCAGAGAAGCGCAGAACAGCGTAGATCCGCAGACAAGCCTGGCAGGCTTGTCAAGATATTATTGTATTTCTGAGTGTGGGTAATCTAATCGCCTTAGAAGTAGAAAGCAGCCGAGGCAACAACAATCGAGAGAGGAAGTAGAGCTGCAAGATTTCGAAACATACAAATAATATCAAATAATCCGAATTAAAACTCGACTGGCAATGCCACATCGGCGCCGAAGAACTTGGACTTTTCCAACTGGAACAGCACGTGGTAGTTCCAAAGCCAAGTCCGAAATCCGCGGGCAGGACCGCCATTAGCCTGCTCCCCCCGCCCTGCCACGCCACTACTCCCCACCACCCCTGCCACCCCCTGACCACTCACTTCTCTGCAACTTCAAGCTTTCATCATGAGACCTGCACATCCCTCTATACTAGAGAATCTGATTTCCTCAGCGTCACGTGTCCGGAGCGATGCATGCGACACATGCTGTGTGTCGCCAGAGCAGGAAGTCAACGTGGCGACTGCGCACGGGCTTGGCCAGAAGTTCCTGCAACAGTGGGTCCAACAGGCGGAGCTTCCTGCTGCAGCCTCAGCTTGGAGCTGTCCTGCTGCAGCTTCAGCTTGGAGCTGGGTACGACCAGAAGTTACAGCCTCTACTGTGTGGTGCCAAACGCCGGCACCGTAAATTACAATACCGAGTCTGCTGTTTCCGCCCGGAAACAAAGAGCTTCTCGAATCTGCTCATGGTGAGTCATGAATCCGATGAGCCCTCACACGAAAGTCGGTACATGTCGGTACCTTTGCCAGGAGTCCTAAATGTTTGCATGCTGTCCGAATGTCTGAACAGCCTGTGTCCGGTGCTTTGTTGTGTGCGCAGTGTTGTCATGACTCATGTTGTGTCTGCACATGCACACGCTCTCTGAGAGACAGCAATGGGGAATTCAGGCCAGAATTGCTAATGTTCGGCGCGGTATGTGAGATTGGTGCATCTGAATCTCTGGCGTGGCTTGAGCTGGCGAAACGAACATGGCTTCGCTATATGTATCCCATAGGACACAAGACACTCCAGCTTGCAACAGATGCCGGCCACGTAAACTAGGTGTTTAGAGTGTAGAGTTGTGGCCGTGTGGACTTTCAAGCGTTAGGCTGCCTCGGTATCCCTTCCGCATCGTGACGATGTTCTCCTCTCGGCTCCAGGCAGAGACATGATATGCTGTTGGAGCCCCATGCAAGGCCGACATGAGAGACTAACGCTAGGAATCGTGGCTGTTGCCAAGCCGCCGGGAATCGCAAGCCAAGATATGTCAGGGCCCGAGCATTTCATGGGTCGTCTTGATGTAGCTGCTGCAAGTCAGGCTGGCCGAGTTGCAGAAAGCCAGCAAGCAGAAGTTGACTACTGTGCCACACTCCCAGATCGTGCTACTCCTTGCTCATCATCTCTTCTCTCTCTTCTCTCTTCTCTTCTGCATGTGCTCCGGCCAGAAGCTTTACGGTCTCAGAGTATCTCAGAGTAAGGTCTCGGTTGGACCTTCCAACATCGGGCGTGCTGGTCGCAGCAGTCGGGGACGAAGACTCCCCCGCCGCGAAATGGCTGCAGGCCGCTTGCCTCGCACTCTCAGACGAGCCAGTTCGAAATTGAGAGCCTGCACTCCAGGCCCAATTTTCTGGTCGGTCGCTTCGCATGCAATTTTGTAATGTCCCGGAGTAGTTTTTGAATCGAGAGGAGCTGAGGTTGGTCTCAAAAGAGTATCTATGTTTGTGCCATGCGAAGCCCCCAGCTCCGGAGTTCGAAGTGTCCACTCCACTCCGAGTGGTGACGGCAGCTCGGTTTGTTTTCGATGGGATGGGCTTAGCTCTGACCAAAATCCTTGTCCAAATCATCGGTGAGCCTGGCCGATGCTGAGATGGGACCAATGGACGACGAGAAGACGCGAGTTTTTGTGGACCGAAAGGGGCGAGAAGCATACACGCGCTGCCAAGCCCTGGCAGTACAGGAAGTATGTTCGCCAGCTGGCAGACTGCACTTGAGTTTGCTTCGGGTCTTCCCACGCACAGGTGCCCTGTCGGGAGGAACTGAAGATACTGATGTAGTTAAACTGGATAGAATTTGCGGAAGTAGTCGGCAGCAACCCATGCGAGCCCTGCTGAATCTGTCAGGCAGAACGCACCAAATACGAGCCCACTTGGCCAGCATTGGCCTTCCGCTTTTCGGTGACACCATCTATGGCAAGTTCGTCACACAGGTCTCTGTGGCTTCGCAGTCAAAATCCACTGTCCCGTCCAAACTTCCACGATCCTTCAAGAAGCACGAACTGCTACAGGACATGGCTCATTTGGTGCCCGGCCTCCGAGACTACGCTGACAGACTGTTCCTGCATTGCCGGCGGCAATCTCTTCTGGGTTTGGATGGACAGCAGCTGGAATTAGAGGCAGGGCCGGGGCGAGTTCTCTGGATCTGCGTATTCTTGTGCCACGTAAAAACGTCTGTGGGGCTTGGTCGATGATGCGGTGTCGTGGCGTGGTTCTTTACACCGCTGTCCTCAAAGAGAGGATCACCACTTCCGGCCTCGTCGCAGGAATCGCGCTCCCGAAACGGTACCACTTGCATTGCTTGCATTTCGATTGCCGCTTCTGCGAAGTGAAGGGAAGCAGTTTCTGCATTCACTAAGCGAGGAAGCAAGCACAGAACAAATTTGGCAATGGGCCTAGACATCCTTTCAGAGCCTGTTGTGCTTTTCTTGCTACAACTGGGCGTGAAGAGCCGTGGTCAGTAGGCTGTGCCAGGGAGAGGTTCAGAATGTTCAACACTTCTGTAGGACCGGCAATTTTGCCCGAACGCCGGATGACTGTCGTTTGGTGTCAGGCGCCCTTGCCTGAGGACTTGAAAGCGATCCTTGCGATCCTAGGCCCTGCAATCGATTGGAGGGCGCTGATGCGAGAAGGAGAAGCCACCGGAAAAAGCAAAGAGCCCTTCGTTCGCTTCACGTTGTCACGTTGCGTTGCGTCCGCCGCTTTGACGTTTGCTCTGCGCTTCCCGCCAGCGACGGGAGGAAACTGCTCCCAGTCGCGCAGGTGCTGCAACTCACTTGTCCCGATGAAGTCGGCCCTGGGATGCTCGTCTCCTTCTCGTGAGCCTGGGAAGCCACACACCTCACGGCACGGCCACTCTCGCTGCATGGACTCAGCTTGTAATCCACTATGAAAGAGAGGTATTATCCCATCGAGGAGAGGCCAGAGGAAAGTGCCACGGGCGACTTGGCCGCAGCCCTGGAGCCTCCTTGTGCTGAAATCTTCACCTGCAAGGAGTTGATATCCACGATGATGATAGGGCCCGGCTTGAGGAGGGAGCAGCTATTGCTGCAGAAGCGGCCTTAGCAGTCGTGCGGCTTCCGGCTGTCAGGGTCTGCGGCGCGTCTGTCAAGAGAGCCCTAGGCCAGGCAAGAAGAGCTGAGCGCTCAAGGGGCCCTTGCCTGAGCACATGGGGACTTTGACGGCCTCGTCGCCACCCCACCGTCGCTGTCAGGTCGTCATGGCCGTACCCCCTCCTCCTATCGGAGAGTTCACGGGTTTTTCCTATCCGGCGGCCTCGTTTGCTTCAGGCAGTCGGGTATGGTCGGGCTTCCAAGCTTCGGTTGGCAATCTGAGCCTGTGGAGGTCAAAATGCCATAGTCACCAGATCCAGCGGAGAGGCCCAGGCCATACCTTTGTCGCTTGCAGCATGACCCGAATGGTGAAGGAATCCGGTTGCTACATCTTGGAGGCGCTTGTAGCCGACGGCAGGGACATGGTGGAGCGTTCATGGCTTGCGGCAGGTTTTCCTCACCGCCCTTGGGCCTTTGTACACCGTGTATTTAGGCGATGTTCTGAGCTCTTGAGATACCAGACGCAAAGCTTTGTTGCTGGAGCCAAGTCAGACACCGAGGCCAGGCAGAAGATGGAAGTTATATCACCAAGAATTGTGAGGAGGCGGATCTGCGGCCGTGCCTCGGCCACACTTCGAGACACGACTGCTCGTTGTCGTGCTCGCACAATGAGGTACCCAGTGTCCTGATGCTGTTATCTCATCTTTGGCTGGTGATCGTACGCTCTGCAAAACATGTTTGGCATAAAACTGCCAAAGGCACAGTCTGCGTATCACCTGATCAGTCACCTGATCATGAACCGGGGAGGCTAAAGAGCGCCCGCCACAAACCAGGGAAAAAGAATGTCTCTTTGCTGAGCCGACTACCTTGCAATGACCAAAACCTTTTTCAACTATGTAATGGTACTCCCTGAAGGGGGTACCAGGACCATCCAGGACCTGGATGTGGGCGCAACGCCGTGAGTCACTTAACTCATCCAGGATTTTCGTTGTGAGCTGCTCAGCAGGGTATCATCTTGGCTTTCAGTTAAGGAATCGGACCCGGGTGGGGCTGGGTGCGTTGAGGACGAGTGGTCTTCGATCATGAGGGTTTCTTTGTACCAAAAGGGCTCTGTGCTACTGCTGTCTCATCGGGAGGATGTAGCATTCCTTTACTCATTAGCGGGTTTGGTGCATCCATGCTGCGAAGACCGCAGCAGAGTACATCAGCAGGGCAGTTTTGTCCGAAGCTTCACGATGCTGGCAGAGACGCGGATGGCACTGCATGGCATTGCTTTCGCAGCGTTGATGTCAAGCTTCATGATAATTGTGATTTGTCACCGCTTATTCCTGATTGATCTGACTGTGAAGTGCACATTGATCTCGAAATAGAGTTACTTCGGGAGCAGTTCTGCGTCGATAAAGAATGATTACGAGTAAGGAAGCGCACAGGGTTCTACGATAGGACTCCCGAGGAGAATTAAGCAGCACAACCTGTGATCCGTCAGAGACATGGCGGCCATGGCCATGCTTCGAAGACCTTCAATTTCTGTGCCATGGAGCGCACGTTTGGCATCGACAGCGATCTCACGTGTTGGTGTCGTGGGCTGTGGGCAGACCTGGGCTCAGTTGCTGGTGCTCTTAGGAATTCCGCAATCCCGCAATCCTCAACTTGCGTGGAAATTCCGTCACTTGCCCAGGTCGAGCGACCTCGCGTAGAGTTTGAATGAACCAACTCACATGTTAGGAAGTTGTGGGGCCGGAGGTCCCAACAAACAATGCAATTCTAGAAGCATGCATGTTCGTGCGGTTAGATGGACTGAGCTCGTCGTAGAGGGACCTCAGTTCGGGGAGGGGGAGCCCGGCTTCTCAGCCAAGGATGGGCACTGGAATCGCGATAGTCGCCGTAGCTTGGCATAGCAGACGATTTGCTCATGTCAGATCTGCGGCACCCAGGCAGCGCACGCAGGAGCGGAGGTCGTTGGCATGGACGCCTTTCCCGCCAGTCTCGAGCGGAGCAAAGCCTTCGTACATGACTGGGCGAAGAAGGAGGCTGGAGCGGCCAGGAGCGAGCGGAGCACAGCCGACGATGGGCATCACCAGATTGCAGGTCAAAAAAGGACGAATGTCAGATTCCGAGGCCGCTTCAGAAGCAGTGGCTCTTTGCCTTGCTGTTGTCTTGAAGGCAGAGAGCTTCCGCAAGCGCTTCAGCTTCGTCGACCTTTCGGACACCTCGAAAATGTCAGAGGCCGTCCCCAGGATGGACTTCCTTATCGAGGCCTCGGGTGTGAGCTGTGCTGCTGTGCATCTTCCTTCGTTCCCCCTGTTTCTATTCTTTTGGAAAGAGCGGCATAGGGCTTCGAGCATTCGAGGCTGTCAGCGAAGACTTCGAGACCAAGCAGTCTTGCTTCAGCGTTTTGCAGGCGCTGTTGCTGTCGAGAGAGGAAGCTAGAGCTAGCTGTTTTGAGACCGGCGAGGCAGCTGGGCTTCCAGAGCGAAGTGTGCTGGCAAGCAATACATCCTCCATTTCAATCACCAAGCTCGCGGCAAAGGTTCCCAGGCCCATGCGCCACTCAAACAGGTATTATACTCAGCCCGAACGTGTGCGCCACAGGCCTGAGAGGGTCATCGGTTGCTTGGCTGGACAGGAGTGCGGAGCTTGTGCCGAGTCCTTTCAGGCCGAGTGCCTAGCGGGCCTAGCTGCCATGACTGCCTAGCTGAGGAATGCACTTCATGCCTGGCGCCGACAGTCGTGACTCACTTGTTCTGTTGGTTGAGCCGCAAGTCTAAGGAACCCCGTCCCGGTGATGCCATTGGTGGAGGTGATTCGAGGCTTAAGGACAGACGATGAAACGCTGGACACCACGCTGCAGCTCTGCCGAGCAATGAAGAAGGCACCATGAGCTCCATGCAGTTCCAAGCTGGTTCTTTGCCCAGTGCCCTTAGGAGCACTCGACAAGCGCAGATCGGCCAGGACTGGCAAAGCGTTTCCGGAGCATTATCAAGCTGAAGTAGGAAGACTGTTCGCAAAGACAAAGCAGATTTCGCACGTGCAGGTTTCATAGCCAACCGCATTCTGATGCCGTACATCAACGAGGCAGGGACCCTCCCATAGCGGCCACAGCACTCCTCGTTTGGATTCCAAGTTGCACAGAGGCGGTGTTTGCTCTACAAGAAAGCATCGGAACTGCCGAGGTGAGATTCGATTTAGGCGATCCCAAGGCGCTTTGGAACTGCCCAGTCTAAGCCAGGACATTGACAAGACCATGAAGCTCGGCACGAACGTGCCCATGGGTCCGCTGACCCTTGCGGCAGCTAGCTTACAAAACGCGACATTCTTGTCCAAGCTTTTGGTGCCACTGTCCCGCCTGAGGATTTCATCGGACTGGATACCTGCCTCAGCATCATGCAGGACTCCCCAAGCGAATGCGCAGAAGACGTGTCCGAGACATTGCGACCGCATCACAGGTTTTGCACAGAGACTTGGGTGATTCCAAGTATCGCCCATCCCTCGGTCATTCAGCTCACGCGCGACCATCTGGTCGGTCATATTTAGTCCCAGCACGAGCCACGCACAGCAAGGTCCAGCTCCTCTTCTGATCAACTATGTTGCGGCGCGGCTCAATCCGTCGCGTTCTGCTGTCTACATCGACACGTGCAGCAGACAGTCTTGAGACACCCACCCAAGGAAGCTGGATGGCTTGGAAAGAAGACGAAACGTGGCTTCTACGATTACAGCTGAGCAGTGGGCGCTGGTCAAGTGTTGGTCTTGGCGTCTCACTGTTTCACCGTGAAGGAGCATGAATCCACGTTTCACGGCGCAGCTTTATCAGCAGATTGGCTTGGAGTCTGAGTTGCAGACCAGCGACGAGATTCTGCAGAACAAACCCAATTGGAGACTGCTGCGTGCGATGTGAGCAGGCTTGCAGGCTGAAGAGCTACATGTGCAGCTTGCCGAGTCATCATGAGCACGACCGCCACCACCAGCAGCATCATCATCATTGACATCATCGTCATATTTTGCTGGTACTATCGACCTTCCTATTTTTACTACTTACGTCCACTTACCATGCCACTATGCGTCGTAGCAGACCACATCCTTCCCCTTCTTCAGAAGCGTCAGCAATTCAGCCGGAGGAGCAGGGAAGCAGTCCGTCAGGTCTGCTGCCTGTTGTTCAGTCACGTTTCCAATCATGCATCGGCCATAGTTGCCGTAGTTGTTGCAATTGCTATGCACAGGATCCGAATCGCTCTAGGTCCTCTTCCTGACCCCATCCCTTTATCATAATCTTCGTCGTCATCACTACCTCACGCAATCTCTGGCAGCTTGTGATGAAGCGAGCTGGCCACTGGGCTACTATATACCTATATATATAATATATATATATATATATATATATATATGTATGTATATGTACAAGAATGTGAGAGGCGCAAAGCATCTATCGCACAAATTCAGATTGCCTATGCAAATGGATTGAAGATTCGTTGACCCATGGCTCTTGTTTGAGACACAAAGATGACCATGCGGAGATCACAAGATGTTTTGCAGATTGTCAGGTTGCTTTGCATTGGCATGCCTGTTCTAGAGGTGTTGCATAGTCCTTGCACCAGTTCTTGTGAGGCCGTAATGCATTCAACAGAAATTCAAGTGTTTCCAAATGAAGCTGTGCCAATGTACGAGCCGCGACGATATGCAGAATGGTTACACAGCGAGGTGTTTCTGCCCGTGGTCGTCGTAATTGGAAGCGAAGCCGCCAAAGCACAGGTCAAGGATGCCAATGGTCTGTCTCTGGCGGAGCTCTTCGCCCCTTTCGGTGGCCACTTCCGGGGAATCTCTGTGTCAGCGCAATCCTTGGAAAGACAGATCCCTATCGAAAATCTACGGGTCCGCTACGCTGATGCTGACTTGGCAGTCCAACTCAGCACTTTACAAGCAGACCAGGTGGCTGCATGGACGGTAGAATCCAGTGCATTGGCAGGGAGACCCAACAGCCTTGAGCCTCCAAGCCCATGGTATGAGCAGTGGCGCAATGCTTTGTTCGGATCTTTGAGATGGTCTGAGCACGAGGCTTTAGACCAACCCGCAGCTGCTATGTTGGTGATCTTGTCCAAAGAGCCAGATCCTGTCATGCAGCTGGAACAGCTGCTCCATTCTTCCAAGATGCCACCATTGTGCACTCAAGGAGTGCTGGATCCTGTTCCCTCACGGATCGCTGTGCTTCTCCACGACGTTTCAGATCCAGAGAGCCCCAGCCAAGAAGAGTTTACCAGAAATCTGGAAAGCATCAGGGCACGTTTTGCCCCGAATCTGGTCCTAGCTCTGCAGATCAACCATGGCGGCGCGGCGGCCTTAGATGGTTCCTCGAAGCAGACATTTGAGCCCAGAGGCCCTCTGTGCGAGTGCTTTGTTGTGCCGAGGCGGACTTCCTCATGCCAGAGGCAGAGGCGATGCTTTTTCTGGGAGTCATAGGCCAAGCGACGCAAGCTGCACTAAGGACTTATTCAAATCCTTTCTGGTCCAATCTGCTCCACCGCCGCCACCACCGCCAGCAGAGGCCAGGCACCCTCGTCGGTCGTAGCTAACGTCAGATCCTGTGGCTGTGGCTGATGAGGCTGCAGACGCAGCAAAACCCAGCCCGGCCAGCCCGGGATCGCGCCTCACCCGTGAAGATCTTCAGAGCTTGGCGCAGGCTGCACTGCCTGCTGCACGGCACTGTGTGTGTCGGCGTCTGGCTGTTAGATTCGAAAAGGTTGGAACCGAAGTGGTGGTCAAGAGCGCCGTGCCTTGGATGGAGAAGCAGCTCCAGCAGCTGGAGGCCATGCATAACTGCTGCAACATGTGATCTCGTCGGAGCACTGCACAAATCTGCAGGCACAGATCTCGCAGGCTCGCAAGGAGCGGCAAGGGTTGGCGCATGATGAAATGCGAGTACGTGCGAGTCCCTGCCGCTCGCGTTCACAACAGGGCTTCCGCAACCAGCTGAAGTATCTCTGGCGCAAGCCTCGCGAGGGAGTGCCTTTCTTAACGACGGAGACGAAGGCCGAAGTGGTGGCCATGAGTTTACAATGTGTTTCCGTTTTAAGGCAGCAGGCGAGAGGAGACCGGGCCTCGGAGTGCGAAGTTCGCAAGTAGTGAAGCAGTGCTTCTGCCGCTTGAAACTGCCAAGCAGCCAAGCGGCGGAACGTGCGCTTGATTTTGTCCTGTCATTGTCAGAGGCTTTTCTGTGGCATTTGTCGGCTCAAGAACGGCCACGGCCACTCCTACATACCCTGATATCGAACATCCCTTGCTGCCGCCTCAGTTGTGCCACCACGACATGCAGGAGTGGACACCGTGAGCGAGCGAGAGATGTGAACAACTCAGTCGTATCGACATCATGTGGCCGAGAGCGATCACCCAACTTGCAAGGGCCTTGGCAATGATGGTGACATTTCTTTCTAGAAGCATCTGCTTGTGCGTCGCAGCCAGGCTCTACTAGGTCTCTTCACATTTCTCTACTCTGTGGGGCACCCAACTAGATCGGAGGCCTCTTAGATGTACAGGAGTTGCTGCTCGACTTCTCAGGCAACGCCTGCGGCTGGCTTAGCCAGGCACCACTGCAGATGGACTAAGCCGGTGTCATCGCAGACGAAAGACATCACAACCATGGCAACAGCATTGAAAGTTCCTGGACTGTAGCCCGACGCAGTCGGGCACGAGTCAACTAATTCACAAATAACTTGAATTTGTGTTCAGAATTTTGGAATTCTTTCCTAAGAGGAGGCTTCGGGGTTTGATTCGACGACCCTTTACCACGCCTTTTCTCCCAAAGAGAGACAAGCAAGCATGAAAAGCCTCCGCCTCAAAAAATGGACTCAGAGGCGGACAGACACCCGAAAAGCGCAGCTGGCAAGTGCACACGGGATAGCAGAGATTGCCTGTGCTGCGGCAGTCCGCGGTCTAGCCTTGGACGTGCACTGCGCAGACCGGCATGTGGCATACATTGGCATACTCTGCAACCAGTCACCCAAAACGCCCAGGGCAAGAGACGGGAGATGCATGGGTGAAAGATGAAAGCACCGAAGGAACGATGTTGTAATGAGAGAACTGCGTGCGCGAAACACGGTTGGTCGACTACTCCACATGGGTATCTGCGATTGTGAACGAATCGTTGATCCTTGCGAGGCCGGTGGTGGCGGAAAGAAAGGTTCCGATCTTGTTGTGGTGTGTCATTTCCTTTTGCGACGGCATGCAAGAGCTGCAAGAAGAGTCAAGGCGGATGCAAGTGCGCTGGAAACAGCGCAACTGCCTGTAGCAGCCACATCCCGAGGCTTTAGGCGTCCCGGCATGTGGGTAGACTGCTCAGTCAGAAGTCCCAGCAGCTACTGGTGTTGCTCAGGTCAAGATACCCCTGGACAAGCAGTATGTTCCTGTTATCAGGAACAACCGCACAGTCATGTGCGCTTGCATAGGGTCAGAGGTTGAAAGGTGTGTCACGCATTCGCATCTCCAGCAGGTACAAGACTGCATATTTTGGTACCATTTTTGTGGGCCTTCCTCGCCCCCAAAAGTTCACAGTTCGGCACCAAAGTCTGCAACCTGCCGTTCAGCAGCCTTCTGAAGTTTTCTCAGGTCGTTTTTGATACTGGCTCTGGGCATTTCATTGTCCCTTCGAAGAAGTGTGAGGCCGCTTTGGTTGTCTGTGCAATCTTTTGTTTTCAGTGGTTCTGGCTGTTTTGATTGATGCAGATGCCTGCCTGCGCGAATCACACCGCTTATGCCGGGAGCCCTGAATCAGCATCAGCTCGGTTCCTGTGCGATGCTCTGAGAAAGCTGAGGATCGCAGCTTGTCGTCTTCTGCGGTCGACCTTGACCACGATGGCAACGTTGTTCCCGCAGATTCTGAGCGAGACCAGGTTGGATGCAATGCTGAACAGACGCGGGCGCCTTCAGACAATGCCTTTGCTAGGTTGCCATTGCATATGGAACTGGGGAAGTTGTTGGCGAGTTCTCACGCGAGGCTCACTGCCGCAGTGCAGTGCTTGAATCCGTCAAACACCTTCAATGCTCAAAACGTCTCAGGCCGTTTGCCTGTCCAGCTATGATGGTGAAGCAGAGGAGGCGGCGCTAAAGCACCCCGATTGCCTCCAGGTCGAAGGGCCGGGGCCGGGACGCGTGCCCAGAAGATGACGGAGTTCTGAAAGGACTGCTGCTGCCAGGTGAGGGTTGTGCAAGCCACGGAGATGACCGACGAGCCATTCCAGCAATTCGAGTCTGGATCCTAGCTCTTGTCAACTTATGCTGGGACCAGAAAGCAGCTAAGTAGCTGAGCAGCTGCACAAACAGGTTTGACGGAGTGCTGGGGCTGGGCTTGGAAAGCTTGGCGCTGGATCCAGAGTTCAGCTTCTACGGCCAGCTTACGAGGCCTGGCCCAGCTCCATCCAGCCCTCCGGTGTTGCTTGTGTCGCAGCACATCGCAACACCATGCCCCGAGTGGTTGCTGTGCACCGCCGTGAACTCTTCCTTGCCTGGTCCGCAGCCGTTGAGGGCCAAGAAGTAGCACTTACTTTCTGTCTCTGCCCAGACACCCGAGGGTGCCTTGCGTGCGACTTTTCGGCAGCGCAGCCATCTTGCAGGTGGGGCGTGCGCTGCGGCTTGTGCCGCTGTACACTTGGTCACTAGGACCTAGCAAAACTGGTCTCTAGACTCAGCAGACACTCCCTTGCCACCTCAAGTTTTGCGAAGGTGCAGATCTGCGGTGACAATGCCACTCTACGAGGAGAAGCTGATCTGTCCCTTGGCAATCCACTTCACCCAGGACCCAGCGCCGAGCCGTTTCCAAAATTCTAGCATGGCCCTGCATCTTTATTGCACGTGGTATCACATGGTAAGCACTTCTATGGACCGAGGCAAGCGTCTCCATTCATACATGCAGCTAAGACCATTCTGGTCGCTCCAGTTCACGGGGCAGACTCGTAGCTCTTCGGGGTGTAAGTGCTGAGAACATAGCTGCATAGAGAGGATGGCCTTCAGCATCGGAGCTGCAATGGTTGAGTCGATAGGAGCACATCAAGACCCACTTTCAAGATGGCCGTCTTGTGGAATCGACGGTTCCAGAAATCCTGGCAGCCCCATCAGGCGTGGGCAGGGCCAAGGCTTCTTGTTTTTGCATGAGCACCGGCAGTCTCCCATGCAGAGTACCGTTGAAAGAGAGGCAAAACAAAGCTGCGTGTTGCTAGGCAGTGCGGACTACGACATCATTTTGAAGGCGCCGTTCCCGAACATTGAGATACTCCGCTGGCACGCGCCTGACTCTGGAGATAAGGCCGAAGCTGAAATTACAGACTGCGTTCGGACTCGTTCATCATGATGGCTATTGTGACTTGCGCCTTCGTGTTATTTCTTTGTTCGGAGGTGATTCAGGATCTTCACAAGAACCAGCAGACTCCACCAAGTGTCATGCACAGTCCAGAGTCCGGTCGACAGGAAGAGCAGTGGTACACATTAGACAACCGACGGCTCTATTGTTTACAGCGCATGGCCGTAGAGCAGCTGAGCTGAGCTGGGATTCGAATGTTTTCGGATTTCAAGCCCTGTCCCGGGCGATGTCACCTTTTGGGGTTTAGCTCTTTCAATCCTTGTCTTACAGGGTTTAGAAGTTCAGTCTTTCCCACCGCACGTCCTTCTCCTTCAGGGTTGCTGGCTTTATGTCCAACATCTTGAAGGGTTTAGGGCCAGGTCTCCCACACGACATAGCCTTTTGGGAATCAGGGTTTCAAGGTTTAGGGCTTGCCACCCGACATATGCTATCGCTTCTCAGCTTATGGGGCTTAAGATTGCCCAAAACATCTCCAAGTGGGGTACAAGGTTTAGTGCTTAGGGTGATCTTCCTGTCGGGTTTGGAGCCAGTTTAGGACTTCCAACGCGATGTCGTCTTTTGTTCGGGACTGGGGCTTCTCACCCGACACCCCGGTTTGGGTCACGGCGTTCCACCCAGTCTACCATGTATTGCTTTGGGGTTTCGAGTTGATCGCGCAACATGTCCTTTGGGGGTTTCGGTGTTATTGATCTTCGTAACAACAAAATCTTGCGTACTGAATATGTGAACATGGCTTGTGTATGTGTGTATGTATGTAGGTAGGTACTTACGTGTGTAGCATGCATGCATGTGTGTAGCCACCTACGTATGCGCGCATGCATGCATGGATGGATGGATGCGTCGGTATGCATGAATGTATGCATGCAATTATGACGTTGGGTTTGTGAGTATGTTTGTTTGTTGGTCCTGAGTTTGCTGTTTCTCGCAGACCTGAAGTGTACCGCCACGCGACCAGTGGCCCCACTTTTCACACCCTTGGCCCCGACTGCTACCCCACTCCCCCCAGAGACAGAGGCATATGTTAGATTAAGCAGCATAGATCATGGTTGGATGGTGTCAAGTATTGTCTTGGTAGTCACTGCACGCATCCATGAGCGATGCCCGTTGTTTGGATGCCATGTTTAATTGAAGCAAGACCTGACCGGATTGCATCGCATACACAGTACACTACTTGCTCCTGAGACTTAGCTCAGATGTGACAGGTTTACAGCAGATGCCATATCTGAGGCACTGGCCAAAGCGCGTGGCGGCTGTTGTTGACATATTGTATGCTGACAATGGCAAGGTGAGGAGGAAGTATGACTCAACAACGAGCGGACGCTCTGTGACCATCTCTCCCTCTATCAAGGCAGGGCTCCAAAGTGCCATAAAGTGCCAGAGCACCGTTCCACTTCGCAAGATGCGCATTTTCCCCTTCAAGGTACCAGCGCTTACCAGGTGGGACTGGCGGCTTCGCGTCGACCCTGAACCTGATCCCGATGCAGCAGTGGCGGCCTACGCGGCCGTAGAGTCGGACAAGGTGACTTTGCACGTCAAGAAGCACTTGACGAATGACCCGATTCGCCATGAGGTAGCATCCGCTGATGGCTTGGCTATGCTTGGCTCATGCAAAGCACGAATGATCCCGAAAACGCTTGCCATAATCCTGCGGTTGTTGCAACTTCTAGATTGCTTGATATTTTCCCAACTTTCCATTCATCCGGGTCCTTCGCCGTGGCGGTTCAGATGTTGCAGTTTCTGTGCCGGACAGCCCCTGAAAGCCAAATTGGTATTTAGTGCAAATGTAACGCCTTCTAAGCGTCAGTTTTAAACATGCTGGACACCTCCAAGGCAAAGCCGTCAGTGAGCGAGCTTTGCGAGGTACCCGGCAAAGCTTTTGAAGCCTGGCGAAAAGTCAGCTTACTGCATCTCTTCACGCGCAGGTCCGAATCGCGGATACCATGAAGTGCAGCGTGTCAGAGTGTTTCATTGAAGGAAGATTTGCTTCGAGACCAGACCGCATCCTTCGTTTCCAACTTAGCGGCGCTCCTCGGTGCCGCCGCAAAACCAGAAGCAGAAGCTTCCGAAGGCCACTGTGCAGTCGGAGCGCAGTACCTCGAAATAGGACCTCGAGTCTCGAATCTGTAATCCCACTTGCAAGTTCAGAACCCGTGGCGTCATCTCCCACAGAGAGTACGGCGGCTTCTTCAGATGGCTCTGAAAGCCGCGAAGAGACCCCGCGAGAGGCTCGGCAGCATGCTCTGCGACGGTGCAGAAAGTAAGAATGATGCTTCATCGTTTAATCCTTGCTGCTTTGGTCGGGAAGGAAGTCGCTGGAAAGCCCAAGCTCGTTTTGCAGCTTGGTAGCAGACAACGCGACACGAGCATATGGAGCAGAGGACGGATCGCCTGTAGAGGACCACGTGTATGGGTGCCGTCGCTTGCATGCACGTGACAAGTCCAGCTCCCCAACCGAGGAAAGCAGAAGATGAGGACAGTAGCCTGGGGGCGTAGAGTCACAGAAACAGAGATTGACAGAGATTCATAGAATCTCGCAGCGGCCAAAAGCCTGCCCTGTTCGACATGCGATGACATGCGATATGCAGGCCAAAGCTGGTCAAGCCGGTCTCGAAGAACAGGCGGTGCGGCTGGTGCAAGCCCAACTTTGCCAGCCTGGCCGGAAAGGATTTGTGTGGCAGCTGGGCCCGATTTTGTCATGAGCTTTTGCCACGAAAAGCTGAAGCTTAAGGGTCGCCGACGATGGCACCTGTAGCGTCATGCGTTCTTCGGTGGTGTGAGCAGAGGGCATCGCTCGGAGCAAGGATTGAGAATTGGCACGCCCATTTTCAAAAACAACTGGGTAGTCTTCGAACTTTCTTGGAGGGCAAGCCGGTCCGACGCCAAGACCTCGCTTGCAAGCACCAGCATTTGGAGCGCAGTATGTCGAATCAATGACTCTGGGTTCAAGTTCCTTAGTAGACCAGGATCTTTTCGTCGTCAAGCCAGGCAGAGGGCGAAGTTACAGGGTGGAGGCGGCGATGACTAGTCAAGTTCACTTCCATGCGTAGTGGTGTAAGTTTCAAGTATTGTGCTTGGACTTGCAGAACTCTGGACTCTGAAGGCGGTTCCACCAAGTCATGCTTCTGATACGAAGACATGGAAAAAGAAATCCTCTCAAAGATCCAGCGGCTTGGTCATGGCACAGGGCTAGATTTGCCAGCAATGGCTGCTGTGAAAATTAATGTGATAATGCGCTGGGTGATGCCAAGGAGCTGGGCCGGCGCCTTGAACGAATCGGTTAATGGGCTGGCAGCCATCGGTGCTGCTTATTGAACTTATTGCGGTTATGAATTCGCTTTCGAAACTTTGAAGCTCACGAGAAGCGGAAGAGTACCTGGGCCTGGTATCATCGGGCAGTTCGCAGATGGACTCCGTCACAGCTCGCTTGCTTTCCTGAAGGGCATACCAAGCCTGAATTTTGTAACGGCGTCGCTGTTAAGACACTGGGCTGGAATGCCCGAGTGTCTGTGGGAATCTACTGTTAAATTATCGGACAGAGGTCGCCTCCGATCAGGGGCACCTCGATTTGGAGTATCGTGCTTTTTTCCACGACATTGGCAAACTGCCAGCACAGATCTTGCCTCATGCGCCCAGGGATATTGTTGTACAGACTTTTCACTTGCCAGCCAGGTGTATAACTTGCTGCTCCACCGTAACAGTGGCACAAAGTTTTCCTACGCCGCCGAACAGAGCTAGGCGTGAGGACGTGTGTTGCGCTCTCACAGGAGAGGACCTGAAACATATTTGGAGCCATACACCTTCTGAGCCCTCTGACGCAGAACGAAAATGAGGCAGATGCATGTCATCTTGATGCAGATAGTGTTTTTGTCGTGTGTCCAAGCTTCAGGGATACAGATGTGGCCGCATGAATGCTTTGCGCAATCGTCACTGGTCCAGGATGAGCCAGCTCGCCCCCATCTTCGGTGTCTTCATCGCTAAAGAGGACGTGCCCTCGAAGCCTAACGGGCTGCGGCATGCTGTCTTTGGAGCTCACGTCTTGTGCAGGACAAGGACGCAAGCGAGATCTCCCTTGGTGGCCGTGTCCTGGGCCGGAGTGTTGCAAATTGTAGGATCCTTATTATGAGGACCCCCAGAATACGGTACCCCTAATTTTCGGAAACTCCCATATCTATCAAACCTCAAACCCCTAACTTGTGTGAAAGCTATCGCCCCCCCCCCCCCGGACAAAAGGCCTCACTAAGCACTGCACCCATGAATCATGTGCCGAAAAACACGTGAACCCCCAAAATCCACCGACTAGATCCCAACCCTCATTACAAGCCTACAGGCTTGCCACCCCTCGGCGAAACCCAAATCAAGCCATCGACACTTACCAATCCCTATAAACCCTAAAACCCGAATGCTTTTTTCTGACTGGATGGATTGATGTCTCATATCATCTGCAGCTCATCACGCGAACGACAGAGCCGCTCAGGCTCAATTCCTGGTACCGAACTAGTAGAAACACCCTTTCTCCAAACGGAGACTCATCTACGCTCTAACTACCACTTTTTCAGGTGTGGCACCCAGAAACCATGTGTCATGCACCTGCGAGAAGGTACCTCGACCACGGGTTTGCTTCCCAGGTCATCATGGCGAAGCAACTCCTGGCCACAGCCACAAGGGTCGCTGTGCTCATCCTGCAACAAGTCAGCATTATCACAACATCTTCTCTCAGCTTCGATGCAACATGTGAAATGGGCGGATGTTCGCTGAGTTCTCTCAACTTCGTGGAATCTGCTGAAAGCTCGGGGGTCGGCGATGCGACTCTCGGCCAGATGAAGCCCAGCATTGCCCGACAGCAGAGCGCAGTGCGCAGCGTGCATGTGTCGCTATGTATCGCTGTCTGCGCGTCTCTGTCGGGGAAGCTTGTGTGTAGTGTAATTTTTCCTATGGTGTAATACACTATCGAGGTGTGAGGATGCGAGTGTGATCGCATGGGGGTTTTCAGAAGGACACGCGGACGTTCCATGTGTCTGTGGAAACAAAGGAGTCGGCCGTCTGTCGGAAGCAGGGTGTCTGGGTCATTCTCGGCGTGTCGTTCGCGCCAAGGACTTCTTTCCTGGCGCTCCCTCCGCTCGGCAAAGGCACCCTTCCCAAGAGGGTTGAGCGGCCCATTCCCGGCACCGCCGGCACCGGCACCGCACCAGATCTCGCCTCGGCCCTTGCAGCCCTCAAGGCCGCCAAAGAGGCCAAAGAGGCCACGGTGCCTTCGGAAGCGCCGGCTGAGTCGAGTAAGACCTCTGCGCCTGTCAAGATCCTGGATCAAAGCTGCGACGGCAGCCAGCACACCCCGGATTTGGCAGGAGAACTTGCAGCGCTCTTGGCAAAGAAAAACCAGGAAAATGCGACACAGGCTTTGGCAAAGCCATCTGCCGATCACTTGCATACCGTCCGTCTTATCAAGCAGTACGTCCCAATCGAAAAGAATGGCACTGTTGTGGCATACAAGACTGCATATTTCGGGAAGATCCATGTGGGCAGTCCGCAGCCGCAGAACTTCACGGTCGTGTTTGATACGGGCTCTGCTCACTTGGTCATACCGAACAGCGCCTGTCAGCGAGATACATGCCTCAAACACAACAGCAACCCCGGCAACACTAGAAAGAGTTTGTGTTTTTTTGAATACCCTGCGCCCGGCAGCCTTTGTGACTTTGTGGGCTGCCTTTGCACTCCAGCGAACTAAGGATACAACGAGTCTATGTCGGAAAGTGCGGTGCCCATAGAGCACGATGGCACTGTTTTGCCAAAGGGAGGTATTTCTCAGCACTCCGTGAGCATTACCTTCGGCACAGGTAAGGTCTCAGGGACGTTTGTGAAAGACAAGGCATGCCTCGGAGCCGCGGATTCGGAAAACCCAGGCTGTGCCACGGTGAACATGGTTGTTGCCAATGACATGAGTGACCAACCTTTTAGCTTGTTTCACTTTGATGGCATCCTGGGGCTGGGCTTGGAAGCTCTTTCTCTCGGGCCTGGCTTCAGCTTCTTCGGGCAAATGGCCGCCGAGCTGCCGATGCAATCCCGATTTTCGGTCTTTCTTGCCCGCAGTGATCAGGGCCAGAGCAGCATCTCCTTCGGAGGTCACGATGAGAGCAAAGCCGCTTCAGGCTTCTCCTGGGTACCCGTGGCCAAGCCGGAGTTGGGCTACTGGCAGGTGCAAGTATATCAGGTGAGGATTGGTGATGAAGTCCTGGATGAGTGCGCAGACGGAGGCTCACGGCTGGGGCGAGGGGCTATGTTGCTGATGCTGTGCTAAGGGCCTGCGTAACGCCAGATCATTGAACCTTTTCTCGGGAGGCTGTCGTGCCATCCTGGATACGGGCACATCGCTGCTCGGAGCCCCGCGACAGGCAGGGTGGAAGACGAAAACCTATCAGCTCAGAAGCAGAGGGCCCAATCAAATAAATGCCTGACGCACTGCGGAGGCAATCAAGACACTCCATTCGCTGCTGTCTCGAAATGTCCTAGTTGCTCCACAGGGCATCGGCAACGGGGAAGGACCGAGTTGGGGCGCTGGGGTCAGCATCTTCACACGATGCCCTTCAGCAGACGCCCTTCTTGGCAGGCTTCGTCACGCAAGAGATGGCAGACCAAGCACTGGCAAGAGATTGCAGAGAGCAGGAGCCGCTCCAGAACCGCTGCAAGAGTTTTAAGTTGTCTAAGCCTTGCATATGCCGACTGGTCTAAACTGTGCCGGGTACTGGTATGTGCTGGTAGTGTGCAGCAGATGCAAGAGGAGGAGGAGGAGGGAGGGAGGGAGGCGGAGCAGGGGCGGACAAAGCGGCGTACCCGCAGCTGTCTCCGCAACAGGTCGTGTTACATACTCCAGGGACAATGCCTTTGAGGCCCTAAGGTTGGCAGTGCGTATGGACATCGTCTGGCAGTTGAGGGTCGGGTGAGTGGAAGCCACAGGGGTTGTGAACACAGGCGTTGCCATCGGCACCTTCACAAGCGTCATGACAGCCACAGCAGGCCACCTTGACAGACTCGGCACATTCAGCCGACAAGGGCCGGGCCTGCACACAATCTGTGTTCGTGCCGCGCGAGTTTCGTGAACGACTGCAGCGATCAAGGGTTTTACGACTGTAAGAATGGTTTCCAGTCATGATGTTTCGTATTGGATGTGTAAAACCTGATTCAGGCGGCGCGGCTTTTGCTTTGCATGTGCACGATTCTTCCTCCTTTCGAGTTGTGATTGCGTACGAGAAATTTAGCAATGAAGCAAGTCTGGCTTCAAAAGGTCGAGGGTTGAAAGCGAGAGACGAAAAACCTAAAGGTTTGGCTCGCTTGGACAGAGCGCGGTGTGGATTTCAGGGATGCCTTGCCGTGTACCTGCAAAATCCGTCGCGATGCCAACATTACCTTGTATTCAGTGTCTAGTTTAGTCAGCTGACCACCTTTGAATGAGGAAGTGCTTGTGAATGCTTGTGATAGTCTCGGTGGGAGTGCGGTTGCAGAGTGCTGGTGCAGTCATGCCGGCAGTGGTGTAGTCTCGGCTTGTTCGCGATTCTCATGTTGGTTGACGGCGCAGTTTCCAAGACCTCGCGACTGTTTCTATTGTTTGCTGCGCACGTCCGATGCGGAAAGTGCAGGCAGCATTAGGCCTTGGAAAAGGGAGACAGTCATAGTTGGGCCGATTCATTTAACTCCCTTTGACGATCCCGCTGCAGTCTCAGTCAGGCTGCTTGTCGTGACAAGTTCACAATCCCAAAGCTGTGTCGACCCACTTCTTTCATTGTCGGAGTCTGTGATGATTTTCTCATGTCATTGTGAATGTGCGGAACTATGCCTTCGAGCTGGAATTTCAGGAGGGCGCTCTTCTGACTTTCGACTTGGGACCGGAGGTTCCCGGAATCGCCTTGGATCCGGAGGACAGGTCGTGCAGCTTGCGTGAAACAAGCCGGCGTAGACTGAGACATACTGAGAACATGAAGTGCCAACAGCAGGACTACTTTCGACCAAAGCCTTTCAATATGACTGCGTCGTACTCAGATTATGTCTGGCTTGCGCCCTGCATAAATGTGACAACGGCGGAGTTTAACGCTACGACGCGATCTGAGCTCCAGGTGCCTGAGGCTCCGGATGCCTGGAAGCTGACCTGTCGGTCGCTTCTGCTGCCTCTGGATCTAAAGGCTTGTCGCTCAAGTGCTGACGGCCCCATGCTTCACTCGCTTAGCTCCGGGTCGGCTGCAGGAACCTCTTGGCCCCCGAACCTTCATCCTGGGCGAGCCGGTTCTCAGGAGCAGCCAGCTGATCCTTCAAGTGAGCCGTATGGGCATTGGCGCTCGCTCGGGCGCAGGAAGTACTACACCATCTACGCTGGCATCCCAGACTCCCAGCATCTTCGGATCGTGTTTGTAACTCTTCGCCCGAGCTCGACTCGAGGACTGGGCCTCACGCCGAGTCGGCTTTGCAAAAGCTGACCATAGTCAAGATGGTGAAGTCGAGGGAGCGATAGATTCACCAGAGGCCAGGACGCTGTTGTTGAAAGCATGTCAGCAGGCTCTGCTTCCTGTGATGGCCTGTGTGAAGGAGGGATCGCTCATTGCAGGGGCCCCCCTGAGCAGGAAAGGCGCGCGTTGACCATAGGGGCGCTTCTTGGGATCCGCTGCCTCTTTCCCTTGTCGCCAGGCAACGGCAGCATTTCTAGCGCGAGCACAGCGTAGTCTGAGTCTTGCGCACGGCCTTGCCTGCCAACACAAGCCTCTGACGCTGCTTCTGATGCAAAAGCGATCGGTCATGCTGTCGCAATGATGTCCTTCCCTCTCGACAATTCTGGTTGACCTCTACGCAAGTCAGTAGCTCTTCGGTGCCCTTAATTATCACGCTTGTGTCTCAGTTTCAGTTCGAGGCGTTCGCCTTAGCTACATGTACAAGCATTACAAACCCTTTGCATCTCCAAAAGCCCATGATGGCGCTGCGCCACGCTGCGGTCGTTTTGCCCTTGCCAGTCTGAGGCATAAACATGGAGAGAGTAGCCTCGGAGCTGCATTGGGCACCGGTCACGCCCCCAGCCGCAGGAGCACGTGCTTGCTGCTTATCGGGGTTGTTAGGAGAGGAGGTTAAGCCGTCGTCGAACGGTTCTCATTCCAGTTCTTGCAAGGTAGCAAAGCCAGAGCATGGGCACTGGCAGTTAGCTGTCAGAAGCATCCGAGTTGGCGTCTGCCACTGAGACGGTTTCAGGCGACATGTAGGGAGCCATGACTGCTTCCGACCGATTCCTCGAACTAAGAACGAGACTGTGGACATATGCGATACCGGCGACTGCACTGCAATTGCAGACACAGGGACATCTCTCATAGGTGTGCCAAAGGCCGGGGCAGCTACTGTTGCAAGACTGGTCCTTGAAGCGTCGCATTCGAATGCTCTTCCGTGTGTGTTTGTATCGCGGCCGCTGCTTGCCAGGCCTATGTCCAGAAGATGCATTGGCTCTTGGCGCGACGGGCACACACCTGAGTACTAGTTACTAGTACCAAAACCGCAGTCTCGAAAATCGTCACAAAGCACGCTACTCGTTGTAGCGGCTCTCACCAGGTTGACGATGACAAAGTGCCGCCGGCAGACTCCTCGGAGTATTTTGACTGCCGGAACCAGCAAGGGTATGGAGCTCGGACGCACTTAGCAGCATTTGCGAAGTAGCTTGACACGTCAGATGTGCGTCGCTATTGCACAGGCCGGACATCGTCTTTGACCTCGGTGACGGGCTAGAGCTTACCGTTGGCGCAGAGGACAGCACAGTGTACTGAACGAGCAATGTCCCAAAGCAGAATTTGCAGACTTGCTAGGAATACTCCCGTCCAGCAGCCCTCCGTGTTATCACGAATGCCACTGGCGAGGCCGAGAAGGGACTGTTGAGCAAGTATGTGGACGTGGAAGATGAAGATGCCAGGAGGAGCTAATATGCCGAGCTTCTCTCCTGCCGGTTGAGGAGATACCGTCCATAGGTCACCTTCCCTGGACCTGATTTTGGTTGTAACCGTGGCATGATCCTTTCGCAGAAGTCGAGGCCCCAAGGCGTGGATTCTAGGCGAGCCGGTGCTCCGCAAGTGAAAGCCCCAGCTGCGGGCAACTCTGGGCGACATCAGCCTCGAATTTTGCCACTAAGGTACTACTCAGCTTACGACTGGAAGCGAGAGCACGTGGCCCGGAGTTTGCTGAGGGGCTTTCGGACGAATCCTGCAGCATCTGGCAATGTGTTGTGGTTCGAGCACAGCGCTACTGTACGCATGTGCAGCCCTGCAAAAGCAATGTAAAACGGGAGACAGGCAAAAGAACAAGCGCACAGAGCAGATGAAGCGCATGGCTCTCTCTCAAAGCTTAGTCATATGCAGATGGGCGTTTGCCGAAGGCTGCGGCTTAGGAGGAGACGAGTGCACGCAAGCACGAGCACGACGTGATGCCGTCAAGTTCCTGCAAACAGAGGAAATCCACACCGCAGAATGCTGCTGAATCGCTACGAACTCCGATCATGTCGGATTTGCCGGAGTCTGGGCTGAAGTGGATGACCCCAATGTTGGCGGCACCCGAGCACACTGCTATACCTTTGTTTCTGCTACTTCCACATGCATTGTAGCGCAGTCATTTCTTTGTTTGTGCTACTTCCACACGCGTTGTAGCTTCCCCAATGCCAAATCATAAGCAACACCGGCAAGCTCAGATGAATCTGCTTCGCAACATCTTGGAAGCAATACGCTTGCCGGAGTTGGCTGCGTTGCAAATGGCGAGCGTTGAGTACCAGCAGATTCTGCGAAATGCCATTGGGCAGGAGGCAATCATGCATGGAGAGAGTTTCCTCACAGTCCAATGGCCGGTTGTTACCAGGTACAGGCAGTGAGGGTGCAAGCTTTTGTTTGCAGATTTGAGGCACGTTCAGTGAGGCATTAGGTTCAACGGAGCATTCATTACTCCGACCTGATGACGGAGCGACCCAAAGAAAGAAAATGGCACGCAGACACAAGGGCCATGTTCGTGCTGTACATCTGAATCTGATTCTGTGAACCCCTCAACCAATTCGGGCCACAAGGATCACCTGAGTTTCCACTTGTTTTACCACCCCTGCTTGAAGTTCAGAACGACCCACTCAAATCCGGGGGGCCCGCCCGAACATCAGAAGATAACTTGAAAACCTCCACAGATGTGCAAGCCCCACTGCCATTGGACTGAGTTGCGAATGCTTCGAGGGTAACTGCGCAAGTTGAGAACTCAACGACAAGCTTCCTTTTGCCGTTGCTGTTTCAGTCGCGCAGCAGTGACTGACACAGTAAAGCCTGTCCATTTCCCATGGCTATCGGATCATTGTACTCCGATCACATCCTCTTGCCTGGTAGCATCAGCAGCTCGTGCCTAGTACGTGAGAAGGGGCGGACTCTGCAGTTTCGAACGCAGTGTCAATTGAAGTCCCGCTTTGATACATGCATATGTCGGTATGTGTGCGTGTGCATGTACATCTGCATGTATGCAGTCGGTAGTGTCTGTGCATATGTGGGTGGGTGCATAAGCATATGAGAAAACTGAGGGTTTTCTGGCGCCAAATTCGCAAAATACAATGCTTTATCGGTTTTCATAATTTTCATATGTGTATGCACGTATGTAACATCATGTATGTATGTATGCCCTTTTGCACAGCGCAATTTCACCCTTCAGGCCTCGGCGCCCGTTTTGGTATTCTTGCAGATTGTCACTGGTGCTGGAGCTGCTGGAGTAGAGGCATCTTTGGGGCCACACTCACGCATCTTCTGATCTGAGATGCTGTCAGCTTGAGACTCGCAGACGCTGCGACTTATGCGGTGAAAGTGTCATCAGGTCTGCGACATTTCTGCCTTTCGAGCACAGTCGTGGAGTTTGGAGCGACCTTTGACGATCAGTGCCAGACTCCCAAGCACGGAGCTGGACTTCTGGAGATAGTGTCAATGCCATCCATGCTCAGAGGCTCTAGCAGACTGGAGACTCTGGTGGGATGACGAGCCTACGTAGGATTTTGAAAGGATTTGATGTTTCAGCAATGATGGCATGACAGACAGGACTTGTGGACGGAGCACTTAGCGCAGCTTTTCCCTGGCCGCCTTCTCTGCTTCCCCCAGCTCCAGCTGAGAGGACGAGTTTGCATTCGCACCTGAATTTGCCTTCGAGTTCTCATGTGCCTAAACCCTAAGCGAACATGTGCAAGGACTGGCAGGGGTGTCGCAGCTGTCCGAGTTGAAATGTCTTGGATCCCAGCTCGGACAGCTGAAATGCCTTCGCTTGCAGAGCCTTGAGGAGAGAAGTTGGGTAACGGCGGGCCGTGTGTTTTTCGAAAACAAGTCACCCGCAGGAGGAGGACGTCAAAGGGTTTGTGTCGCTTCTGCACAAGATGTCCCTCGAATCGCTGCAGATCAAGGACTTTGCAATTGACAGGACCTCCTGCGCACACATTGCTAAGGCCTGAACAGTAGCGAGGTTGCCCGGTGCGTCGTGCAGAAGTACGAATCCTCATGGACAGGAAAGTCGACAAGTATACCCCTGCAAATATCGGAGATCGCAGAATGCAAGCACAAAAGTGTGTACCGACGAACTCATGATGTTTGGTAGTGTGTGGCATCGTACCCGACTGATGTTCGACTGGACTGACATAACACGACAAACACAGGCCGACTCCTGCGACTCTGGTACCGATTCTGAGAGCGCTTCCTTCGACGTGCACGGAGTTGGATATTCGCTACGTTCTTCCGGCAGTGCCAGCGTGCATGCCTTATCTTCTGCTCCAATCGCATATAGTCCTCATTCACAGATGCAGTCCCATGCAGTCTTGCAGACTGGAGCTGGAGTTCATGCTCACAGGGTGTGTTCCGGGTAGCGGGGCCGGCAGGGCTGGTTCAGGGATTGCTGTAAAGTGCTTGTGTTGATTTCGCGTCCCCCACTCCGCCCCTGCACGAACTGCTGCAATCTACTGGAAGAGCGCTGTTTGAGCGTCTCGTTTGTTTCTTTGACATTTGGCTTACCATCGATCTTCGTTTCCATGCAGCAACGAATTGACGGCTAGCGCAGCGATCGAGTTGGTCGGATCTTCGTCGAAGTGCCACAAGCAGCATCAGGCGGCTTGTGTGCAGATCGGAAGTTCTATTGTTACTTGGTCACCGATTAGGTTCGCTATGCTGCCGGCGACGGTGCGAAGGTAAACCGAAGCAGTCCATTCTCCATCAGCCGCCCGCACATGCAAAGAGTTCTGTGGATCTTGCTACGCAGGTTTGGAACACTCGTGGTGATGGATGAGATCTTCTATTATTCTCGCAAGGTGCCTCCGAGAACCGTGTGTGTGTGTGTGTGTGTGTGTGTGTGTGTGTGTGTGTGTGTGTGTGTGTGTGTGTGTGGGTGTGTGTGTGTGTGGGTGTGTGTGGGTGCGCGGGTGGGTGTGTGCGGGTGTGTGTGTGTGTGTGTGTGTGTCTGTCTGTCTGTCTGTCTGTCTGTCTGTCTGTCTGTCTGTCTGTCTGTCTGTCTGTCTGTCTGTCTGTCTGTCTGTCTGTCTGTCTGTCTGTCTGTCTGTCTGTCTGTCTGTCTGTCTGTCTGTCTGTCTGTCTGTCTGTCTGTCTGTCTGTCTGTCTGTGTGTCTGTGTGTGTGTCTGTGTGTGTGTGTCGTGTGTGTCTGTGTGTGTGTGTGTGTGTGTCTGTGTGTGTGTGTGTCTGTGTGTGTCTGTGTGTGTCTGTGTGTGTCTGTGTGCGTGTGTGTGTGTGTGTCTGTGTGCGTGTGTGTGCGTGTGTGTGCGTCTGTGTCTGTGTGGGTCTGTGTGTGTGTCTGTGTGTGTCTGTGTGCGTCTGTGTGCGTCTGTGTCTGTGCGCGTATTTGTGTCTGTGCGCGGGTGTGTCTGTGTGTGTCGGTGTGCGTCTGTGTCTGTGTCTGTGTGTGTGTCGGTGTGCGTCTGTGTGCGTGTGTGTCTGTGTGTGTGTGTGTGTCTGTGTGTGTGTGTGTGTGTGTCTGTGTGTCTGTGTGTCTGTGTGTGTGTGTGTGTCTGTGTGTCTGTGTGTCGGTGTGTGTGCGTGTGTGTGTGCACAGTGTGTGTGTGTGTGTGTGCGTGTCGAACCGAACTGTAGTGGCTTGCGTACGAGCGTGACCTGAGGTGGGGATGAGTTTGTCGCTGTTTGTCCGTACTTTTCCGATCATCAACAACGTTACGCAAGTGAAGCTCATTCTCGGACCTGGCCACTACGAGGTTGGGTGTTCATAGAATCCTGAGGCTGCATGGAAGCTGACGCTTGTGGCAGGAACCGTCGTGGCCGGCAGATGGCGCGCACAGTTTCGTAGCGGCCTTGAACGAGAAGTGCCCAAGCTGATGTAGTTCCTTTGGGCTCTCCGCCGCAAACATTTGTTTTGTGCGATGCAGGCTCCCGACACTGGAAAGCGTTCGCATGAAGGTGCCTCTGGGTGCTGCAGTATCGTGCGAATATGGCGACCGGTTGACAAAAGCCTCACGCTTGCGACTCTGCCCATGGGTACTGAGATGTGAGGTATGTTTAATATAGGGATATTTCGTGTGTGGTTAACGCCGACACCCATGGATGAGGGCAAGGATAGATGGGTGGGTGGCTTGTCTACAGCGCAAAATGCGTTCTAGGCGCACTTACACTTCAACGGGTCGTCGACCTGCATCTGTTTATAAGCACATGTCTCCGCTTTCGTGGACATGCAACTACACATGCATGTTACCGCGTGTTTATCTACTCAAACTACGCAGCATGTATAGCTGAGAAAACATCACACCAAACGTTACAAACCTGGTCGCCAAAACGAACGTCTCGTATCATCTCGTATCTGCCTATATAACGCCCGGCGCACTCATACACGCATATACATGCATACAGGGGAAGACAAAGACAAAGAGACAGTCAGGCAGACCGACAGACACACAAACGGACAGGCAGGCACGTAGATTCGCCTTGAATACGGACTCAATTTGCCAGTTTTAAATCTAATTCAATCATTTATCGATGCGCAAGCTCGTCGTAATTGATAAGAGAAATCTCATAGCAAGAGGATGAGTTTACATATTATGAACTAAATTATTTCACTGTTGTCCAGCCTGAGAGAAATATGCATATAGCAGAACAAGGCAGATCTTGCACAAATACAGCTTCGCGGAAATTCAGGTAGGATCCGAGGCTACGTTGTTTTGAACCAGCTCGAAACTGCGGCGATGAGGAGGTTCGGTTTTTCGAGGGAAGCAGTCCATAAGTAGTCAGGCAATTTGTCATACGTAAAACAACAACCACTAAGATTCTTCTGTACGGAGGCAGCTATGAACGGAGCACTGCGCATGTTCCGACTTGCAATGAGTTCGGGCGTCGCTAGCAATATGCGCTTTAGCACTAAGGTTAATGGTGGGGTTAGATTATGGGTATTGGGGTTGCTGCTTGAATGGTACCGTTCCTAGCGACGAGTTTAACTAGGGTTGAGGTTGAATTTAGCAGAGCATCAAGACTATTAGGTGTTTTTGTTACACCGCTTAGTGGCCTATAGTCGCAGTTTCTGGGGTGTAGGCCGTATGAGATGGCGGTGCATGTATATGTAGATAGCACAAACACACACATGCGCACACGAGCACACCTACAACATACATGCTGTGAGAGGCTGCTTACTAGCAAACACAGGCAAACACAGCTCAGTGAGAACATCAACGATGTGACGGTGGATGTGCGCATCGTGCACGATGCACCAGCCTTTCCTCGGAACAAACTCATCCTGTCGGCATCCCGTGACATCAGTAACCTCGACAGATTGGAAGATATTGAAAACTAGCCAGGTGCATTCTGAATCTGCTGCTGCACCACCACTCGTGCCGATTCTCCTGGAGTTGCTTGGTCATGGGTTGAGCACGCAGTTGTATCTCGAGGCAGCTTGACCCATGCACGTTTGCTTGTGAACGCGTGCAGTTCTGCGTCGGTTGAGTTTGCGATTTCTGCCAGTGCTAGGGCCAGCAGCGCTTGAGGGACAAGATCCACAACAACGCCGACCTTAACAAGGTGACCTTCCTGGAGGCATTCTAGCGAGTCCAAGCCGACACAGGACACCACTGTAGAAGATGGCGACTTCGCGGACGTCATCAGGAGACACAGATTACAAGTTCCTGCAGTACGACATGGGGTATCGAGTAGTCTCTGCTCCTACGGCCAAGACGCCGAGCTTATGTAAGACGATCGGACGACTCTGAAATCGAGTGAACTCCCGGAGCTCGCGAAGAGATGGCGTTGCAGACGTTGCAGACACGGCAGTAGCAATGATAACACAAGCCCTCGGATGCAAAAGAACTGCCAGCGAGTGCAGCCTGAGTGCAGCCATCCGACCGTCGTGCCCGTCCCCGGAAGCCAAAGGAGCAACCGGCTGTGAGGCGAATCGGCTTTGCGCCTGCCCTGCAGCCACCCCCACAAGCGCAGAGCGGCGTGGGTCACAGAGCTCACAGCTCAGTCCAGACACGAATTGTCTAGTCTGTTCAGCCAACACCATCGACTCTTTCGAAGTAGCTGTTTCCAGGTCATTGGAGCACCACCTCCAGCCACACCCTCAATCGCGGCAGATCGAAAAGGATTCAAACCAGTTTCCCGCAACGTGGAATGCAACACCACATAGTGTGCTCAAAACACCGTCGTTCGCCAAGGAGGTTCCGGCTCCTACGGTGGGCCACCTAGTTGCCGCGCTCAAACACTCGGTCGCAGCCGTGTATCCGCGTGTTGACCTGAAGCATGTGTAAGCGTGGGACACTCTCAAACCCTGAGGTCGTCTACATCTGAGAGCATCTAATTTTTCCGCCATGGATGTAGCTCATTAGCTTAGGCTTTGCCTTGCAAAGTCGATACTCCTGCATGAAAGAAAGTACAGTGAGATGTCGACAGCAAGTGCCTGAACAAGCAAAATTGCCGGGGTGCCTCGTGGGGTCAACATGCCAGTTTCACACTATCCTGACACATTGCGGGCAGTGCTGATGGTGCTACTTTCCTGAGCTGACTTGCGAGGTGATGTGGTTGAGGACAGCAGCATGCAACATGTCTCGTGCGACACTGGAACCACTGCAAACGCTCGGCGAGGATGCAGCTGCCTATCCACTGCATTCCGTGGCGAGCTCAGCATCGGCCAAGGCATGCTACAGCCTTCTGAGGGACACAATCTCAGATCAGCATTGCTCGTGACCCAGACAGAGTGATACTTCGCTGGCAGCCGCATGGGACATGAGCGTCGCCGTCCGAAATGCGCCAGGTATGCAGCCCTTTTTCAAGACTTGCAATCGCGACAGGAGCTGTATTCGTCGGGGCACTGACAGTCTCGACAGCTACTCGAAGAAGGGCGGGGTTTGAACTCTGAACGTGGTCTACATCTACATCACAATCCCGGCCACTCGTCGCCAGGAGTTCATTGATAAAGACCGGTCACCTATCGCCCCCAATCAATCGTCAAGGCACAGAGCGTGGCCCCTCCAGCAGCAAAACACGAGCAAACGTGCAACGGCTCCGCCATCTTACAGCAGTTTGACCGGCGAAGACTGCAGATTCGTAGACTAGCTCCTGCACGCCACCTGCATGCCCAGAGGGCCGTGGACCAGGGGCCCTCCTTTTCGGTGGAATCTTTTGTGCAAAGTCTGCCGAGATCTTACTACGTTATTCTTTGGGCATACTTACGTTGACACCCCGAGTAAACAAACAACTCAAACGTGACGACTTTCTTGAAAAAGGAATCGAGCAACCTTCAGTGGAGGTTACTCAGTAGCTGCTCCTTGTGAGTCGAGTTTGAATCATGCCGTTGGGCCATCGCGGCTGCAAAAGCATCGTAGTTTGAGCCCCGTGGCAATCAGGTTGAGGGGCAAATGCGTCTTGCTGGAGACTTGTCATTTCACTTGCGCGACTACGAGGCTGGGCCTGCCTTTGCATGTCGACATGTCATATGCACCGAGTTGGCTGGGGGAGGATATGCACTGCGGTTGAGAGCCACGAATGGAGACGGAACCACGTTGACGATGGTACAGTTTCCGGTCCACAGCATTCGCCAACACCTTTCTTTCTCATGTCTGACTACGTAGGGCCGAAAATTCATGCAAGTGCTGCCCCGGTGCCCACATGGAGTGACTCCCAGAGCAAATGATGCATCGACCTTTGTTGCATGGTATGCCGCCAAGCGCCCTCCTCTTTCTCCAGACAACCACGCGCGGTGGGGGATCAAGGGACAACAAGGGATTTACTGAGATTTTGGAAGCCGCTGTGCTGCAAAGTCGTCCGCTCGTACCGGATGGGGGGACGAGAGAGTGATTGTTTCAGGGAACACCCAGACAGACGCCCAATATATGCATAGACTGCATAGAGGTCAAGGATGTTCAGGACTTGGAGACTGGATCCTGGAGTCCTCGAAGGGTCTGCAAGTTCCGCAAGCAATTTGCCCCGATGCATCTATTCGCACGTTATCACTTGCTCACATTCGTTCTCTCTTCTCTCTGAAGCACAGACATACACACACACACACGCACGCACTGGAACGCGCCCACGCCGGCGAGTGCTCACACTCTGCTTGTGTAATCTCTGAGTCGCATCGTTTTCTGCAGCAGGTTGCGCTCAGCTACTACCGGAATGCGTGCTCCCCAGTTTATGTTAGTTCATGAAACATGCAGTGCTCAGACAGGAAGCTGGTCACGATGGAAATTTCAGCGCTGCATCCGGCATTCACTCTTTGCTTCGTCCACTCGATGTCAGCTAGGTCGTGAGCGACTTCAAGCAGGCAAATTCCCTCAAACTGGAAGAGCTGCGACAGCTGTGTTTTAGCGATGCAGTTGGCTTTGGACTTTGGAGGATAGGAGCTGGAAGCATGCTGCCGGTGCTTATGAAATGCTGGCCCCTTACTGCCAATGAGCAAGCTGCCTTGCATGGATCCTTGTTCTCGAAGGTGGGGCCTTTGTGCCTACATAACCGGCGGTGCCAGAAGTGCTCGCCACCAAGTTTCAAGTCTGTAGAAAAGTTGTTGCATTACACTGGCCGACCTGCAGGAATGGATGCGGTGCATGGAAAGCTCTTACGAGCACTACCTGCAGGCTTCCTCCAGCAGACTAGCGATGCGAGTGCTTCGACTGCAGAAATCCACTTCCCAAAACAGGCTGCAACATCCTTTGAATCCTTCTCCTGTTTTGTTTCATTTTCTCTGTCCCTCTGTGGCTCTCTCTTTCTCTCTCTCTCTCTCGCTATCTCTCTTTCCTCGCTCTTTCTGAGAATTGATGTGCCTGGAAAACTGTCCACGTGTAGAAGGCGAATCTGAACAGACGAACCATTATGCGTAGCTTCGTCGATTCGTAGTTATGGTATGATCTGTGTTTTTCAGTTGAACCAGACCAGTTCCGTTTCACGCTTCACAACGCATTCCGCGTTGCTGAACCCGCAGCGACCCAAGACGTAAGACACCAAGCCCTTGCGATTTGGTGGACACAGGAACCCAGTAATCGAGGACCGGATTGGGCTGCATGAAAGTCTGCAGGACGTAAGCTGCTCTGATGGGACTCGACAGGAAAGGCAAGCAGGAGTGAGAGCTGGATGCGGCATGTGAGTGAAGAACCTGGACTGTGCACAGGTGTCGATAAGTTCTGGACGAGGAACCACCGCTGTCGTCTGGGGTGGATAACATGTGAGCACACCATGCGATTCTCGATCCATCCCAGTCCTTGTCCAAGTGACCCAGACTCAAGTTTGCAAGACTTCCTTCTCTGCTTATGATTGTGGGTGCCTTTGTCTGCTGGTCTTGCGCTTGCGAACAGCCATGTTTCGATACTGGCTCCGACCGAGAGAGAGAGAGAGAGAGAGAGAGAAGCACTTCACCGGAACACCCGGAGCCGAGGGCATCTTCTTGCAACTTACTCACCCCCCAACAGTCGGGGGCGCTGACGCGCGATGTAGAGGGAAACCTCTACATCATAACCCTGGCGAAAGAAAGAGAGAGAGAGAGAGAGAGAGCCGTAGCCATTTTGGCTCAAGTCGCTCGCCTGTCTGCTCCTCGGAGCGGGTCGCTTTTCGGCCGGCCCCTCGAGACCACAGAGGGTTATCTCTGTGGGCTTGGGGGGTGGACGTGCCGAGGGCGGGGGGTGGCTTGAGGCCATTCGCCGTAACATGTCGGGCTCTCAAGTGCCCAACGGGTCGCGAAGACCTCTCCTGAAACCGGCCCTCTGCGGAGGTGGTCCGATAGTAGGGAGGGGCAACATGCCGCTTGATGGAGGAACTCAGAGTGAAGACGCGACACCAGGGGGAGAACCACATAGTTCAAAAGGGCAACAGCGAGATCAAGCTGCTCGACCACCTCTCCCTCGCAGGCGACCTCAACCAGACGCTAAAGAGGGACCAGACTGGACGGGGGACACGAAGCCCGGCATGAACGTGATAGTGGCAGGGACACCGAGAAGGCAAAGGACGCCCGTGGCCGACGACGACCCAGACACAGCTGCAGCACCTCGAAGGCACAGGACACCAAGTGCCAACGACGACCCAGGACCAAAGGACGACGACATAGCTGCAGCACCTCGAAGGCACAGGTGAGAGAAGTGAGCGCCGACTACAAAGGCGAGGCACCAGTGGCTACAAGTTTTGGGACATATGTCTGATGTACACCCATGCAACTCGCCGGGGACACCCGGATCCGTGAACAACACCTCTGCCGCCGGTGGAAAAAAGTGAACGCGACACTCTGAAGCCACCTAACTTACCTTTCAATTTGTGTTGAGGGCACCCGCTCATTTCCATGAACCCTAGAATGGTGTGCCAACAGCTTGCATAAGACTTGCATGGCCGTTAATTCAAGCACGTTTTTCCCCTCGTACACACAGCCTTTTACATAAAAGATTCTTAACAGTGCCGGTGCGAGCAAACAAACACCCCATACGGGGAACACAGTTTCGGAGCACCCTTTGCTATGTAAAGCCGAGCCCATCCAAACAAAATGTTGGATGGGGTAGCGCTAACGCGCGGGGCGGGAGGACTGCTCCTGCCTCAAACCCCGAGCAAAGCAAAGCAAAGAGAGAGAGAGAGAGGGCCGACATACTTGCCAAAGATCTTTCAGGATCAACACGAGCGCTGGCATGCAGGTTGTTTACATGCACCTAGAGTAGTTTTTGCTTTCAAACCAGTGCAGTTGATCCCTCTCTGAACTAAAGCGAGACGCTATATTTGCCTCAAACAGGGGGAGCCTCAGACCGAGTTTTCTTAATTCCTGTTGTGTCGGGAGTCAGTCCTTTTTGTTCACTTGAGCGCAGGCAACACAGGTTCCCCTTCGCAAAAGGCGAACCACAACTAGTCTTTCGCGAGAGACACTTTAGCAGCTGTGTGTAAATATCGGGGAATGTGAAATATGTCCAGTATGGTGGTGGTGTATCTTGTGTTGCTAGCCTCTTAGGTCGTACTTGATTGAACAAACAACCCCGATATGTCATGCCTGCGAACTTGAACAGTTCGGTGCGGATCAACTCCCGGGGGAACGAAGTCATGGTTGTATTCTTTATGTAGTAATGTATGCATCTAGGTCTTTTGTGTCTTGTTACTTGAGGAAAAGGTTGCCGCGGGGGATCGCACGAACATGTCACAGCTCACCGACCACATGTTGACTTAATCTCCTTCTAATTATGTTGTTGGTATTCGCAGATGTTGTCGGGGGATATTCTCGGTTTGCATGTGTCGAAGAGAGTGTACGGCTGGATGATATCGCTATTGTATTCTTTATGGCTGTAGCCTAAATCCAAGCCTACACTCGTTCGTCACGCCTCCCGTCCCGATAAAAGATCGGGTGGGCTTGAAGCCCGGGGGCCTTGACCGGCCCTCAAGCCCAGGAGAGAGAGAGAGAGAGAGAAGATAAAAAAAATATATATATATATATATATATATGTATATACATACACACACGCATACATGCATGTATGTGTATGTATACACATACAGTATCTGCAACCATCGCCACATACATGAGTGCGACATGTACTTCTGCATATTTATTGATGCAACATGTCACAAGGGGAATCGGCCATGTTAGTTTCTGTTCTTTTTTCGACTCCTCGTCAAAAATGCCTGAACTATGTTCGTGCGCGTTTGCATCGGAAAACTCGTAGTTGATGGAGGTCGTGACCCCGAATCGTGACCTCTGAAGCAGCAGCAGCAGCAGCAGCAATAGCATTTGTGGGAAATGGATGGTCCAATGAACTCATGCAGCTGAGGCTGTGGCGCTGCACCAAGCAATGGTGTCTGACGTAAAGGAGGCTGCACTGCGATTGATGAAGGCGCGTTGCGACAAGCATACTGTATGTTCAATTGCACACGAATGTCACGCCCATGTTCTGATGTCGCACGAGTTGAGGTCAACGGAGATCTTGCAGACAATAACTTGAAGAACGCTTTGATATTGGAACAGGCTGAGAAGAAGCCACAGTTCTGTTTTGCAGCTTGCGCCCGCGGAGCTGGATCGATTTGTGGTTTGCCAGGCTGGACAGCTCTACTACGCCAGCGGATCTGCAAGGCAACTTGAGCCAACACAGCAAAGCAAAGCAGAACTGCCACTGAGCTTTACATGCGACAAGACCCTTCGTGGATCCAGGAAGGGGGCCTTCCATCTCGTCCTCGCTGGACACACCTACAACAAGCTTGGCTTTAAAAGGCTGTCTCTGAAAAGCTGCTGCTGAGCTGCTGCTTTGCTGCTGGCTTTCAGGCTGGCCCTTTTCAGCTACCAGGCAGTCGTGGAGCTTTACCTGGGGAAGGGTTGGTGACGCTCCAAGTTGCTCCAGTTGAAGGTGCGTCGTGTCCTGGTGTCTAACACCAGGTTTCACATCACGGATCATTTCCACTTCACCATGGCGCGCCAAGCTTTCGGCGTGGCTGCTCAGAAGCTGCAGAAGTCGGCATGACTCGCGTTTCTTCAGTTTGCTGCTAGGACTCGGCATGAAAGACGAGCGCTGGCCTTGACGTGGAGCTGTGCCGCACGTTAGTTTGACGAGCGACGGGCTGCAGGTCTTTGGTGCATTTTCTCAAACTGCTGAACTCGTTTGCCGATGCACAGAAGAAGGTTTGCATCCAGGTGCGCATGCTGGCCGACATGTCTTGTGCAGAACGCTCGCTATGGCATGAATCTTTCAGGCAGACCGCGAAAACACCTACATAAAGGCACCGGGCACACGGTGTGTAGGCTATCTCATGGCTAGATACTGTGAGAGCCCATCGGCAGAACGCACTCGACTGATCAGGAGTTCATCTACGTGGTGAAGGATTGGGTGCAGACGCCGGAACCCTTCTGGGTACACATTGAAGCCTTGTCCTGCATGCGGGTGTAAGGCAAAACATGGCTGAAGATGCCACCGTCGACTTACAGGCTTGGCATGGCTTGCTTTGTTCAGACTGCAGCGCTATTCAGAGCGGCGCAGTACGCAGATACCTTGTGTTGATCATGACGTACGAGTCTATCTGTCCGACGACAAGCAGAGAGAGCCTCCACTGCCTTCTGCACAGCACTTAGATCTTAACAGAGACTTGTTATCTGAGCTGCATCGGCCTCGTCGTGAGAACCGCAACTGAGGAAAGTTCAGTGGCCTCCTGGGAACATCTCGGGGAGAAGGCTCCAGTCCAACACTCGAACGTCATTCAAAAGATATGCATCTTGTTCTTTGGCAGGTGATTGCGAACCTTAGCCAGGAGGATGATACTGCACTGGTTGTCAGTCTGTGCTAGATGCATTGATGAGGCAACTCGTATGCGCTGGGCCCGGGCAAATTAGAATTGCATGGCTGTCGACCACCCATGCTGAAAGAGTAGTGTTCGATCCTATTGTCGTCTGTTTCGAAGCTCCCCAGAGTTCTGCATGTTTACGCGGGTCTGTTTCAAATTCAAAACTGGGCTCCGAAGAGCTTATGACTGCTGGGCGTTGCTGGGTTGTGGAGCTTCTGTGCTCGCGAGCTGGAGACTGCATATACCAGCGTGGGCCCACCCGCGATGCCGGAATCTGGATGAAACAGTCGAGATGGAGAACCATCGGGGTGTCTCCATGGCAGACACGAAGCACAGCATGAGCTTCCGCAGAATCAGTGAGTAATTTCAAAGTGCGGTCGCTCTGCTGGGAACACGGAGCACGTGCTGTCTTCTGTGTCGAAGTCACATCATGCAACAGCCTGGACGACAACACTCCAGGACAGGCAAGAGCTTCTTTGGCATCAGAGGCGCGACTCGCAAACGACGATGCAGCGTCAGAGCAGCAAATCCATTACCTGTGAGGTCTGATGTGCGGATCTTTGACGCTCTGCGACGCGTCAGTGCGACGGGCGCAAAGGCATTGTCAAGAGTTGTCCTGCACCAGAGGCAGTGTCTGCGCTTCCGTTCATGCTGAAAGGTCTTTGTAGAGCTCGCACTGTCTCGGCCCCAGTCTGACAAGAAGCCAAACATATTATTGAGCATGGAGTCTGCAGAGGACCAACCCCATGCGGGTGAAGTGGGAGATTGTCGGCCTAACTCTTCGAGGGCGACTGCTGGACTGTTCGATTCGTGGTATTGCCTACACTGGCCTGCACGGCAGAATGATAACTCAGTCAGGACAGCAACCACGAGCCTTCAGATGCTCAAGTCGAAGCCCCAGCCTTGTCAGCACCGCAAGCTTCACATGCTGCACGTACCAAGGCGGTCGAGTTCACTGCACAGGCCAGTCTTGCAGACACTTGCCAAGTCCAGAAGAGAAGTCTTCACAGGATATCGAACTGGGACCGCTAGAGTCCAAGAAGATTCGTCTAGCTGCGCTTCCGCAACGGGAGGCGACATCCAGCTCTCGCAGCTTAGAAATAGTGTCAGTGCATGACAGGGGCTGCTACAGATCCTGGGCGTTCGATGGACAATCTTCGATTGCCACAAGGCAACCTGACTGAGTATCCAGAGCACAAGGATCGCTTTGATGCCTGAGGTGGTTTGCGAAAGGCCGTTCCAACTAAAGGGGCGCCGGCTCAGAAACACGCAATCCCGCCTAGTTTGATCTGGCGGCCGGACGGCTTGAAGTTGACAAGTAATGTCGTCATCAGAACATCTTGATCCCACGAGAGTGCATCAGCCTTCAGATTTGCCTCTGTTATGCGTGAGCTTGGAGCAGAGTTGAACTCGCCGTGCCGCCGGACCCGGTGTCGGGTGCAGGCAATTCGGAACCATCCAAACATGTCGAGCAGATCCAGGTGCCTAGATGCCACCGGCACGTAGCCTCGTACCACGACTCGATGATAGCCGCAGGGCCAGTCTAGCGCTGCCTTCATGCAAAAAGTTCATGACCACAGCCACAGCCGGAAAAGACGCTAAGCTTAGCATCTCGCATGCTGGCATGCTGGCATATGCTGGCGCATGATTGCCAGGCTGGAGCAACGCGCATCCAAAACAGGTGTTTACAGCGGAGATCTTCGACTGGAGATCAAGGCCAGGGCACCCGGAAAACGCCCGCATGTTGGAAGGTTGGGGAAGCAGGGGGTTTAGAATGACCCAGGTTCGTTCTTGGAAGCCCCGACTTCAAGCTCGCTTGGAGGGCAAAGCTGGCATGGCAGGGTCATTCGCGCTGTTGCTGGGGTTGCTCTGCCCGATCCGAACAGGATGGCCGGTGCAGAAAGAGTGGGACCTTCAGAAGCCTTCCGTGTAAGAGCCCGTGCTGGAGACTTGCGCAGCTGTCGCAGGCAGTCCACTGAAGCGAGTGCCAGTGCCGCCAGTGCTGCACTGTTGCAAGGCACCTGCCAGAAGTGCAGAGTCGGGGTTCGCGAGTCCTGAAGTCTAGAGGCGAGCTGCGGCGCTGCAGGCACCCTTTCTTTGCCTAAACCTGAATGCAATCTTGACACTCTGTTGCCAGTCTCGTCATCACATCCGACGATCTCGATTGCCCTTTAACGCTTCTCCAAGTTGCGACGTTTGCGGCTCATGCTGCTCGCTTGAAACCAATGCTCCGCCGATTGTGCCCTGTGCAGACTTCAGAGGTCGCATCCGCAGTACCTTGCATTGGAAGAGCCTGACACAAAGAGTGGTAAGGCGCACTTGGAGTCTGATCTGAAAGTTAAAGGGCCCACAAGTCAAGCTGGGAGAATGTCAATGAATGTCAGGAGAGCTCCGTGAGACTAACTGGCGAGGACTTCTTCTGGTAGCCTGGCGATCCCTGTGTGAACTGCCATGCGCCTGGCAGGGCATCCGGTTGCAGGGCAAACTGACAACGCTCTTTGATGCTGCCACGCACGAGTTGCGGATACCAGGTGGACTCTGTCTTGTTTGTTAAAATCGTCTGTTCACGCGAGTTCAGCGAAGCCTCGGCAGTTCTGCTTCGTGTTGATGCCGTCGGAGTGCACACCCTCCGCCTCCTCATCCTGGCGGAGGCTTCAAGAGCTGAAAAGACTTGAAGAGGGTGGCACGCGGCGGGTACGGACGGATGCTGCAGGCAGAGGGTCCTGGTGGGCCGAAATGTGACCAGAGACAGTGGATCACGCTGGAGGACGGCTTAATGTGAGCATTGTGAGCGCTGTGTCGCATCATGTACTTACAGTGAAGGAGCAGGTTGGGGTTGAACCGGCTGTGTCGGTGACAGCGAGGCAGACGGTAGGAGCTCGAATTGAAGCCTTTACGTCTCCAAGCACCGAGGCCGAGCCCGTCCTTCACCTCGGACGGTTTGGATCAAAGTCTTTGCTGAAGCTCAACACCTCAATTGGGCTTTCAATTTTTTCTATCCAAGTCGTGTTCAGGTCGTTTCATTTTCACGTGCCTCGTGGAGAACCGTGCGGCAGCACCTGTGCACGTGCGATGCAAAGGGTATTCTCTGCTTCGACGCTATGCAGCCGTCGAGTCATGTGGAGTCGGTTCTATGTTCCCTACGGTTGTGATCAGGTCACTGGCATGAGCGGCTTCTGCGATCCTGGACTGGTGCCATTGGACCTCCAAGCATTCACTGCAGGCGCAAATGCTGTCGCAGAGGCAACTAGGGTGCCACGTGGCTTGTCCAGGTGAGCCACTGATTGAACCCGGCGACTCCGTGGCTTGGACAGCGCCGAAGAATTGCAGAATAGCTCATTGTCGGTTCTGCTCGTGGCCAACGCGGGTTGGCGATGAGGAAGGGGTTAGGACTTCCGTGGTAGCTTTGGTAGTCAAAATGCAGGTGCACTCGCGCGCTGTTATGCTCCACATGTTGATTTAGGGGTTCGCCCTTGTTGCTGGCTCGAGGATGGCGCAATTGGTATGGTATGTGTTTGGGATCTGATGCTGGGGCTGGTCGCCGTCGTCGTCGCCGCCGCAGTATGAGAAGTAGTAATCAGTCGTCGCGCGCGCTCTCGTCTCACCGATCTTCCGCTGAATCGAAGCGCCGGCTTTTGCATGGCGACTCCTATGGCAGCAACCGCCTTCCTCAGGAGCTTGCCGATTTTGAGAACTGTCGAGCAGATTTAAGAGATCCGCCGTTTCTGAGCTCGGGGCGTCCTGCTCGACGCCATGGCCGACACGGGGAGATTCCGAGCCATTGCCCCATTCCGTTTGTTCCCGCCGCACGATCACAGTCTTGTGAAGGGAAGCGCGTGTTTGACCACCGACAATCCGAACAGCAGCTGGCATGAGTCAGCGCTGGCACCCTGTGCGAGACTCCTGTGAAACAGCAGGCGCTAGCCGTGCGAAGCCGGTGCTTGTTGCATCGTTTGTTGATTGAATCTCTGCGCAACTTTGGGAACACTGACCATGCTGATGGCTATAAGAAGGTTCTGCCACACGACACCAGTCCGATACGACGCTGCACGGTTGCAGATCGAGGACAGACTGCCATAGGGCTTTCTTGAGCTCCGGATGCGGGGGCACATGCACAAAGGGCCAGCTCAGAAGAAATGGATAGTCGTCGCCAAACTCGATCAATCAACTGCCATTCACAGGAGCCCTGCGTCCGGGTAGGACGAGAACGACGACGACGACTACTACTACTGCTACTGCTACCACCACCACCACCACGACTACTACTACCCCCGCCGCCACTACTGGCAGTATTCATTCTGGTATAGTACTCGTACTAAGAGCAGCAACAGTAGCAGTGAGTTCAGGGTTTGGTGCTCGTAACGTTTACCTTGTTGCTTTCCCGCCTTCCGCTCCTCATTCTGTATTCTCTCCAAGAATTGGTCGACAAGACAAGGAAAAGAGGCCCAGCTACAAGTAGTTTCCATTCCACAGCCGCTGTAGTACACCGACCCTTGGAAAGGCGGTGCGGGGGCCGTGATAGAGGGATGCAATGGACCGGAGGTCGACCAGTGCTTTGTCTTAGCTTGAGGCTCCAGGTCGCCTAAACGCTAAACCCGTCAAGCTAAGGTTCAACTGCTCTATGCTTTGCGCTGGCCTGCTGAAGCAGCACAGGTGCCGCAGGAAGCAAGGCTCTTTTGCAGCAGCTAGTTGCACAGCTGTAGTCGGAGTCAGTTCCAGAGACTGTTTGACCACGTCTTGCGAAGGTGGCGGCTCCTGCACGCATGTCGGCAAGCTGCTGTGGCCTCCTCGACTTGAGGTAATTGCGGCTGCTTCGCAAGTTGACTTGGCAGTTCAAGGCAGTCAGCAGCAAGTCCAAGTCGAAGACGCATAGTGCGCCGCCAAGAAAGTGATGTCGCATAGCTTCGCGCTCTGACAAGCTGCTGCAGTTCGTTAATGTTTCCAGACCTGAACCTGACAACAGACCATCCAGCGTGTTCGATCCGGCTTGTTTTGCAGGAGCCGCTCACTAATCAAAACGCAGACAGCCACGAAGAGCCAAGATTTACACGAGTGTGCTCCTTTTTTGTACTCACCCTCCATTGTTCAGCGCCCAGCTTTCCAGGAAAACCCATCGCGACGGATCTGGCAGCGCATTGGCGACAAGGAGCAAAGATTGGCGAGGCTGCCCAATGCACAGAGCTGTCTGGGATGTAACCGTGACCATCCGCACGATGAGGTTTTCTGTTTGCAAGTGCCCTTGGAGCGCGGCGAACTCGGTGACGGCATGGCGAGTGGCCGCCGACTGTCATGCATCAGAGAGAGCTCCGCTTTGAAGCGCTCCGCTCTCAGGTCCAGAAGCTCCTCCGTGTCCTCTGGATCTACATCTCTTGGCTCCAGCAGCTGCAGAGGCCCTCCCTCCTGGTACGCCAAGTAGCAGTTTTGGCCGGATCTCAAACTTCTTGATCAGGTGTCTCAGCTGGTACCTGTGACAGTGAAGATTCGCAACGCGCCTTCGCCCTGGCATGCCGACAATGCTCGCCCATGCCTTCATTGGCCCATGGGTCTTGTGCATGCGAATCAGAGCAAGATTATTGATGAGGTCTCTCGCAGGTCCAGTATCGTTTTACTTCGTCGCTGTGCGAAACTGAGCTCAGAGGGGTCGGGTCTGGGATGCAAATATAGCCTAACGTAGCTGCTTGCTGAGGTGGTGTATTGAAGGGTGCTAGAGGGAACGCACCGGGAGGGCAGCCAGGATGAAGCCTCGCGCAAAAACAAACCCTGTGCGAAGGCATGTTCCGTATTTGTTGGGACTGCAGACAATTGTGCATTCGCGATGAGGGCGCAGGGCCCCCTGACACAGGTACTTGGGCTTGGCTAGGGCTCAGAAGTCGGACATTATTTGGGATTCGCGGAAGCTACAGTGGCTTGAAGATGAGGGATGGGGCACGGAAATGCCGAAACCAGACCGAACTGCATGTCTCACGGTCTGAGCAATGCACAGGATCTTGGATTTGGCTCGAGGAATGACTCATGCTTGCATCAGGCCTTAGCGTGTTGCAAGCTAGATTTGTCCAAGCCAGGCCAAGATGCCTCTTTAGCGATTGAAAGATTTCAAACTGACGTGCGCCTGATTTGAGATCTAGGATGGGGCGCACCAAATTTGTCTGAACATGTGAACAAACCTGGTGCCCCAGCCCCGTACTTGTAGCTTCCTGACCCATCCAAGCCCATCCAAGCGTGTTTCAATCTGGCTTACGCACACCGGGGCCACATGCATGTTTCAGGGCGAGGCAGACCAGTCTTGCGCGACTCTGTCGCCCAATTCCGTCCACCTCGAAAAGGCTGTAAACTGCGTCCCGAATCCGACCGAAAATTGAATATGACAAGGTTCAGAGCACCGTTGCAAGGACTCCTTACCCTCAGCCTGCTCGCGCACGCCACACGTGAAGTCCTTTTCGGGCCAGGTAGCCTGCCCGGAACGGAAGCCTCAGACCTTGCGAAGTTTGCCCTAGTCCTAGACGGAGACCTACGGAGACCCTTCTCTCTCTTGGGATATCAGCAGATGCGGGGCTATTGGCGAGCCATGTCCCGTCATGTGGCGTCTCAAACTAGTGTCCTCTGTACTTTGACATCAATTTTCTTCCGCTTAGGTGCTGTCGTTCCGCTGTGGGAAAGTGTGAAGGGACACTTTTGGCACCCAACTCTTGGTGTTGCAGTTGCAATGCTGCTGTGAAAGAAGACATCTCGAGCGGACTCATACAAGCATCATGGGTCCGAAATATTTTTGAAACACAGCAGATACTTGCAGACGACCCTTGCCTCGTACTGCGATTTTGCAGGAAGTCGGAAGTGTTGGTTCGATGCTGCGAGCACGGGGATGAGTGGAACCTGTGTGAGGATATTTGTCACGTCGCGAGCATCTGACTCTCTCTGGAGGTACACTCAAATTCGCGACAGTGCATGTATTCATGTTCCATATGTTTGAAGCGGCCGCACAAGTCCGCAAGAGACGACCGCATAGCGAAATAACAGAACACCAAGGAGTCGACTGCAGACTTGGCATGGGTGGGCTGCGAGCGGTCGGAAATAATCCGCCTGCCGGCATCTTATTCGACCCAAGACTCAACTCAGTGCGAAGATGGCGGTCTTTCCCGTCAAAGGCCTGCCAACGAGTACCACTCAGAAACAATCCAAGCGTGCGCTTCCAACCCCGGTAAGAGTGCTATCAAGGGGTTCTGCCTGCAGCGAAGGTACTTCTCCCAGCCAGGGGTCTACAACCTCAATCGCTTCCGGCTTTTCGTGGTCGGCATGTGCTTGGCCTTGGGTCGCAGCTTTCGTTCGGTTGCATGCAACGGAATTTCGATGGCCCCAATTGAAGGCCCTCCAGCACCGTCCCGGCCTCCGAGCAGGCAACAAAGCGGCGAAGCATGGGGCTTGGCATTAGCTTTCGGCGGAGTCGCCACAGGCGCCTATGGCTTTCGCCGTGCCCTTCGAGCGCCTCCTCCATGCACCTGCCTCGGCTTGCCGCGACTTGTGCGACTGAGAATCTGGGAAGGGGTCCGAGCTCTGAGGTTCAAGCATCGGGCGATACCGTCGGAAAAAGTCTTCAAACCGCCATAATTGGATTACCACAATGCCAGGCAGCTCTCAGCCTAAGGCTTTCAATATCAAATACTTCGATCTATCATACTACTATTATCATGTGATGGAAACGCCCTGAACACGAATATCCGCAATAAATTAAGCCGAAAGTCTTGTAAAAACATACTGACAGGTATAAAAGTGCATTGCGCGAAGTGCTAATAACAACAACCTATGCGTTTGTTGGAGGATGGGTCTTCATGAGTCTTGAGCTCGTTTAGCTGTGGCTCGAGAGGTCTCGGAATCACCAGGGCTTCTGGCCTTGGGTCCTGGTTTTTCTTTCGAGCCATGGCTGCCGTTGACCTGCCTGCACCGGAGTAGCTCAACGGCCGCACCACAGTGGTTGCTTCCAGCTCGGCCTGGTCTTCTAGGTGCTCGTGTTGCCGCCCCCTCCCCGGTCGCTCTCGTTCCGTGGGGCCTGCCGGCGGGGTCGGGTATTGTCGATGACATTTGTTTGCACACGCGTTTGGTCACGTCCTCCACGGAGTTGGAACGTAGGGACTCATACGATTGGCCGAATAAGTAGACGCCGAGGTTGTTTGCTGTATCCGGCTTCGTGACCACTCCGGTGGAGGTGTCCCTGGGACCTTACGGAATACTTTGGCGGCTTCTGGAGCTGCCGCCAGGTCTGCTACGGCTAGTAGTTGGTCGTCGTCGCTCGGCTCTTCTTCCTCTTTTTCTTCATAATACGACAGCTGGCGTAGCTAGTCTTTCGTTTCTGCTACGTCAGTAGTGGG